TGGGATACCTTTCGAGATTTGGTCCGAGCCTATTCTGACTCACTTCTCAGTATACATTTGAGCTTCCTATGTGAGACTTTTTTATTTTAGAGAGAAAGAGGACTAACACTAGCTAAAAAGTTTCATCACAGCATTTAAAGTGCTGAGCAAGTACTTTGCAGGTGCACCTGGAAAAGCTTCAGATGGCTTAAAGACTAAGGAAATTGTCTCTGGGATTTGTTTTATCCACATTTAAAACAAAGCATGTGATCAGAGAGAAGACTCTTCTGTCTCAGAAGACAAGTGGACAGTTTATCTTTGATTTTTACCATTAGTCATTTGTTTGTGGTAAAATATGCAAGTGTAAAATTTACCGTAATTTTTAAGTGTACAATTCCATGATGTCACACACATGCGGCTGTCACCACCATTCATCCCCATAATTCTTTTCGTCTTGTACCATCAGTCAATTCTCATAGGAAATCCGTCCCCTTACCTACCTTCCAGTAATAAGCAGTATGTCTAACTTTTGCTCCTGCAAAGGACATGAAAAAGCTGAAAGGAGAAACCAGTACTTGGATTTTTCATACTACTAGTGGCTTGAGCCTTTACCTTGCACTGCCCTGATATTTATTTATATGCCCTTAAAAGTGGAATGATCAAATATTCCTGTCTTCAGCTTACATTTGGCCTATCGATAAGATTTTTTTTCTGCAAACGGGTATTTTAAAAGACATGGAAAATGTTTAGTCCAGGTTATTGGCTTTGAGATCAAACTTTCAAGATTCCCCACCTTCCCTTTGTTTTTAAAGTAACTAAGATTTATTTATTTATTTAGAGAAAAAGCATGCATATAAGCAAGAGGGACAAGGAGAGAGAATCTCTAGCAGATTGCATGCTGAGCTTGGAGCCCAGCAACGGGGCTCCATCTCACCACCATGAGATCATGACCTGAGCCAAAATCAAGAATTGGACACTCAGGGCACCTGGGTGGCTCAGTAGTTGAGCATCTGCCTTCAGTGCAGGTCATGATCCCGGGGTCCTGGGATTGAGTCCCGCATCAGGCTCCCCACAGGGAGCTTGGTTCTCCCTCTGCCTGTGTCTCTGCTTCTCTGTGTGTCTCTCATGAATAAATAAACTCTTAAAAAAAAAAAAAGATTTGGACATTCAGCCAACTGGACACCCAGGAGCTCCTAAAGTAATTTCGACTACTCTTATATAGAGAAGTGTGTGTATGTGTTGCCTTTACCCTTAAAAAGCAGTGGGGAGGGCAGCCCGGATGGCTCAGTGGTTTAGTGCCGCCTTCGGCCCAGGGCGTGATCCTGGGGTCCCAGGATCGAGTCTGCTTCTCCCTCTGTGTGTGTGTGTGTCTCTCTCTCTCTCTCTCTTTCTCATGAATAAATAAATAATAAAATCTTAAAAAAAAAAAAGGCAGTGGGGGAAATATTGAAGGATTTTAAGCAAGACTTGAGTGTAAAAAATGGATTGGAGAAGTTCACATGGAAGCTGTAGACCAATTGTTGTATAATGCAAGATGGTAGTGTACTGGGATAGAGAGCTGGTCACATTTTCATTACCAATAATTTCCATAATGTCTAAAACATGGCCAGAGTAATGGCCCCAATGACCACAGGCACACCTATAGGAAGAATTGACCTCAGGACCATGTCATCTGCTCTTTTCTCTCCAGAAACCAGCCCCCCTTCAACGCTGCAGCCCACAGCTGTTTGTAATGGGACGCATTGGGAAGATGCGGGAAGCAGGGTTGGGTGGGCCAGGCATTGTCAGAGTCACATTGGGGTCATAAGTAGTTTTGAAGTAGAGAAAGTTAAGGTTGAATGGAGGGCTGAGGGTTGGAAATGCATAATGTGGAAGGTTAGAATTAGTGTGGCAGCTTACTGTCATGGATGGGGGAAGACAGTGCTGGAGGCAGGGAGCTGAGGTAGTTTAAGTAGGGGAGGATTGAGAAGAGCTGTTGTTAAGAAAATTGAGCTGGTTAGTGTCGGGTGATACTGGGTACCAGGTGGTGATGGATTCTGGGCGGCGGTGGTGGACACCAGGTGGTTGTGTCTTTAGTTGCCAAGAGCATTCCCAGCATCTGATTCCCTATGAGGACTTGGAAGTCAGCACATAGTCATACTTAAGACTGTGATTTATTACAGGGGAGGGTATGATGCCAAATCAGCAAAGGGAAAGACATACCAGGCAAAGTGAAGGAAAGCAAGCACTAGCTTCCAAGAGTCTTTTCCCAGTAGAGTCACACAGGAAACATGACATCAGCAGGTTGTGACCACACACATGAAATGGTGTCAGCTGGGGAAACTCATCAGTGTCAGTGCCTTGGAGTTTTGAGCTGGTCATGTAGTCATTATTTGCCTAGATATTCCAGACTCTCAGAAGGAAAGTGGGTACTCAACCTAAGCCATGCTGTTTGTATAGATAGTTTAGGCACAGAGACCCACTCTTACCTGTTGTAGGGTTTCCAGACAGCTGCCCAGAGGGCAGCTGCCTCCCTGCCTGCCCTTTAACTCTTCCACCATTGCTGGCAGCCACCATTGCTGGCTGGCCGCGCATGGTGCTGGGCAAAGGGCTGTGTCAGACAGCAGTGGAGGGCAGAGGTAAGGATACCAAACAGAGTGCAGGGAACAGAGCGGACCCCTTCCCCCCCGCTGTGGGGTAATAGAACTTCATCTTCAGGCCTGGGTACATGCACACAGCTACCTCCTTCCTCCACTAGCATCCAGGAGAATGATATTAATAGTATTTTTGCAACAGTGGTGTCCCAAGGATTCAAAGACCTAGTGAATTTGGGTTAAAATGAAGTAACTACTTAGTCTCAAATTTCTCAGCCATAGAGCTGTGGTGCATTTGATGACTTGTTAGCATTCACCTAAACTCAGTTTGGGAACTGCTGCCAAGGACCTGTGGTTTTCAAACCCAGCAAAGGAGCCCTGGAATCCCATAGTTATAAGGGAGCCAGGTCAGCAGGGACCATGCCAGTCTGGTTGAGCACTGTATACTCCTTGGGGTGTGGGCATGTGAAAACATATGACTTGAATGATGGGATAAAGGTATGCATTGGCATCTTCATCAAAAAGTAGCTTTGGAAACTAAACAGATGGAATTCAAAGGACTTTGTGTCGTCTCTTGATTCCTGGTAAGCCCCAATGGATCAGGGACTGTAGAAGGTTTGTTCACTGGCTTATTCACAGGGCCTGACACAGCAGGTACTCAGTAACTGTTGACTAAATGGCACGCTGCTGCTGCTGCATCAAAAATTTCAGGTGTAAGAGAGGTTAAAATGAATAATCAAAGTGACCTGGAGATTAGATTGAGGTATGTTATCACTACTGAATATTGAGAGTTGCACTTAAGTATTTTAAACATCTTTTAGCTCTCTGATTAGGGGTTTTTAAATGAACTATTTTTTTTAAGATTTTATTTATTCATGAGAGACAGAGAGAGAAAGAGGCAGAGACACAGGCAGGGGGAGAAGCAGGCTCCCCACAAGGAGATGGTGCAGGACCTGATCCCCAACCCAGGAATCACGCCCTGAGCCGAAGGCAGACACTCAACCACTGAGCCACCCAGGCATCCCTGAACTATTTTCAACATACAGATGGATACGTATAACACACGTGATATAAAAACAGTAAAATAAAATTCCTGTACCCATGATGCAGCATTAGAAATAGATCATCTCCAGTGTCGCTGTGCCCTGCCCAGCCTTCCCCTTTACCTCCTCCCCTACAGGAAGCAGCATTTTGCATGGGCTTATCCTTCTGCTTCTCCTTCAGTTTGACTATGTATATGTATATCCCCCACTGAGTGAATTAGGTTTTACATTTTTGAATTTTACATAAATTATATCATGCTGTTCTCATACAGTATTAGTTTTCAAAATTCGTCAGTGTCCTGCATATAACTGCAGTTGAGTCTTTTCTTGCTGTGCAGCGTTCTATTGTTTGACCATATTTCTGTTTATACACTCCTCTGTTAATGGGTATTTGAGCTTTTTACAGTTTTTGATTATTCATACTCTACAGTGAACAACTATACACATATAAGTATTTCTACAGTTATACATATTTCTCAGTGCACATGTGTTTTTCTACCATAAATACCAAGGAATAGAGGGGTGCCTGGGTGGCTAAGTAGGTAAGTGTCTGCCTTTGGCTCAAGTCATGAACCTGGGGGTCCTGGGATCGAGTCCCACATTGGGCTCCTGCTCTGCAGGGACCCTGCTCCTCTTCCTCTCTCTTTCTCTCTCTCTCTCCTTTTTTTCTTAAGATTTTATCCATTCATTCATGAGAGATAGAGAGATACGGAGACACAGGCAGAGGGAGAAGCAGGCTCCCCACAGGGAGCTCAATGCAGGACTGGATCACTGGACCCAAGATTACACCCTGAGCTGAAGGCAGATGCTTAACCTCTGAGCCACCTAGACGTCCCTCTCTCTCTCTGTCTCTCTCTCTGTATCTCATGAATAAATCTTTAAAAAAAAATACCAAGGAATAGAAATCATAGGTCAGAGACCTGTACATTTTCAACTTTATAGGATAATACCAAATTCATTTTTTTTAAAGATTTTTTTATTTATTCATAGAGAGCGAGAGAGGCAGAGACACAGGCAGAGGGAGAAGCAGGCTCCATGCAGGAAGCCCGAAGTGGGACTCGATCCCGGGTCTCCAGGATCACAGCCCGGGCTGCAGGCGGCGCCAAACCGCTGCACCACCAGGGCTGCCCCACCAAATTCACTTTTTTAGGATGATTATACTCCCACCCCCTCTGACAGTATCCCCCATGCTGCAAAGTCTCTGGCACATTTCCTTTTGTCTTTCTCATTTTTCCCAAAATGGTAGGTGAATGGTTTTCATCATGGTGGTTTTAATTTATAGTTCCCTGACTTGTAGTGAGGATGAAAATCTTTTCATGGGTTTATTAGGTTTACTAGCCATTTCCTGTTCTATATCTTATTTGTATTTTCTGCCCCCCCCCTTTTTTTTTTGGTCAATGTGTAGGTATTCTGTATGTACTCTAGATAGGCGTCCATCCGTGCTGGTAACATTGCCCAGTTGTGGCTTGCATCTTCACTTTGCTTAAGATTACAGCCACGATGCTGAGAAGGATGACAAGGCTTCTCTCTGGGGCCCGGCAGGTGAGTCCTAGCTGACCTAAAAGCTTTGTGCATATTGTCTTTAGGTGGAATTTTTATTTCTAGATGGATTCACTGTATCCAGAATAACATGTTCTGCAAAACCTCTGTTGCCAAGTGCTGTAATTTACAAATTTGCACTTTAGAAGACAGTCACAACTCCATTCCTCTACCCTAAAAATCTGACAGCCCTCAGCACAAAAGCTATGCTTGGAGATGTGCTAGAGAATTAACATTAAAAAAAAAACACATAAGCTTGATTGCAGTTATCTTTATTAACTTTTATTATATCTAATGAGACTCATGATTATCATCCCTTAGTGAAGTATTTAAAAGAAAAATAAGTTTCTTCTTTAGACTTTTAGCATCTGATAGTTTAACAAAATAATAAAATCATACATAAATACGACCATTGTGTTGCTTTACTTCATTTATTGAGCAGATATTTTCTCAGTACCTTCTACCAGGCAGGTGCTCAGGATTCTACAGTGACTCATTTCACCATTAGTAATTATGATTCGTTGGGCATTTTTTATGTGCCAGGCACGATGACCAGCCCAGGAAATAAGTATCTCTGTTTCGCAGAAGATAGAGAAAGTGATGATTAACAAGGCTAAGTAAAGTGCCTGAGGTAACATTCTGTGAAGTTATAGAGTCCAGGCTGTCTTGACTGCAAAGCCTGTGGCCTTGAGCGCTGTGCTATGTGGCATTTTATGGTCCCTGTTGTCCAGGACCTCACACTTCCAGTAGCGGAGTCACAAACAAATGGCACCTGTAGCCCAGTGCTGTCACAGCACCCAGAGGAGCATCTGCTGTGGGTTAGCAGGGCCCAGAGGGCACCCTCAGACTCCAGATTCATCCCAAGTCCCAAAGGGTGAGAGCCAGACCAGCAGGGCTCTGGCACTTCCATCTGATCATTTCATTACAGATTAGATCTCCTAGAGGAGGAGCCCTTCCTTCCATAGGGCTCCTCTTTTTTTTCCAGTGGTTCATGATAAAACTTGTAAAGGCAAAATAACCCATTCTTAGGAAATAAAATGAAAAAAAAGACCAAGGATCAACAGAGGGATGGATTCAGGCCTCAACTATTTGCATTAAAAGGCTAGAATATGTTCTTCCTTGATAGCAGACAAGAAACACCTGAGTCCAAACTGCAGCGAGGGGTCAGAAGAATTTTATGCTTTCTGTAGATTGATTTAGTAACCTTGATGGGATCACAAATGCTGTTCTTTCGGGAACTGCCTGGTTTTCCTTCCAGAGCTGTGCAGAGGCAAGTGTACACATGGTTGCCTTCCCCGGAAAGGAAACACAAGACTGTCAGGGTGAGGCCGTATATAACACTAAGAAGGAATCCATTTTGCTAGGTCTTAATTTGCTGCAAAAAGCATTTAACTAAAAAAAAAAAAAGTTTAGTGTAGAAATACCACCACCTTGTGGTCCTTGAATATCTTTGATTTTTTATTTACTACTTTTTTAATGAAGAATTGGTGCTTTGTCTCCGGTAGAATGGAGAAAATTGAGTAGCACCAGCACTGGGGCATTCCGTTCAGACTTCTGAGCTGAGAAACCATACCCTGGGTTTTCATCGGCCAAGCGCAACAAGTGCTGCTGTTTGTATCGTAGATGTTCTGTTTCACTCTTGCTGTCACCACATTTCCAAGATGGTTTGCGGTCCATCATGTTGGTGTGCCATCTCAGCATGTTGATTTTAATGTTTAAACAATTATTATTTTGCTCATAAACATTATACCCATTTAAGTTCTACAATAACTTTCTAACTGGTATTTTCACCTCTAAATCTTGACTCTTCGTCTTTCATAGTCCAAAAGATTTATCTCCCCTCATAAAATGCTTAACCTCCGGCTAATCAGAAAGAGTGGCCGAGGGACCCCTGGCTGGCTCAGTTGGGAGAGTGTATGACTCTTGGTCTTGGGGTTGTGAGTTTGAGCTCCATGTTGAGTTGTAGAGATTACTTAAAATAAATAAATCTTTAAAGATTTTATTTATTTATTCATGAGAGGCTGAGACACAGGCAGAGGGAGAAGCAGCCTCCAGGCAGGGAACCTGATGCAGGACTCAATCCCAGGACCCCAGGATCATGACCTGAGCCAAAGGCAGACGCTCAGCCACTGAGCCATCCAGGCACCCCATAAATTTAAAAATTTTTAAAGAAAAAGCATGGCTGATTCCCTGCCACTGTCAAGATAAGTCCCAGAGACTCCGCACGATAACCGATAACCAGGCCAGTGTGCTGACTTCACCTGCTTTTCTATTTTTATTATGTAAATTCTTGTTCCCCAGCCGTATTATGCTGGCATCTTTTCATTTCTATGTAAGGCCTTTCATCCCTCAGCTCAGTTTTACAAGGTTCTCCGGGTAGTATTTTCTCAGCTTTGTCACCTGAAATCCCATACCCAGCACAGGAGTCCCCTGTGCAGTTTACTGAGCTGCCCATCCAGCACTATATCTCACTTAGCTGGAGGTTTTCTGCACTCCCTCATCACACGTCCTTAATCAGAGAGTCTTTATTCCAGGACACACCTAGCAAGAAAATTATTGTGGGGAGTGTCATGATAGCTGTCAAATGGGAGCACTGCACCAGTCCCCTAATAGAAGTGGCTGTGATTGCCATGGTAGGGGGCGGGGGGCAGCACGCTGGCCTAGTGGCCGTCTACCACGGGGGGCAAGAGCATAGGAGGATGTGCCCTGCTCCGGGACCATCTCCAGCAGATGCATTTGCTTCTATGTGGGACAGAGCCCTGCCAGAGCAACACAAGCTGCAGCAGATTCAGAGTCTGGATAATATGATTGGATGTAGAGAATTGTAAAAATAAGGATTACTTTTACATAAAACTAAAATGTGTATTAGTGACAGTTTTCCTGTTGTAGAGGGGCTTTAAAACCTCAGTTTTGTAGTGATCCTAATACTAAAAGCCTGCTGATTCCAAAACATGAAAATGGTTTCTTTTATAGTTGGACCCTGGACGTTTTTTGCACAGGGGGTCCCCCGCCCCTCAGAGCCTTGATGCTCACCTGGATGACCAGAGACCCAGAGCTGTATCCTGTACTAGTGAGGATGACCCGGTGAGTTGCTAGCATGTGTATGGATTCAGTTCTTATACTTTGTGTATGGATTTCAGTTCTTATACTTTGTGGTGCTGTTATTTTACATATTGGGACAATTGAAACCCAGAAAAGTGAAGCAGATCTGCCTGTGGTCAGACAGTGCACCCAAGACAACACTCCGGAGGCCAGATTAGCCTCTTCCCTGTCTGAGGCTGTATTCACATAAACCTCAGGCAGGCCAGTCCACACCGGATTTAACTCCTGCCACTGAAGGCCACTCATGCCCTGGATTTTGTCTGGCATGAAACAGGTGCATAGTAAATACTTAAGTCTGTTCCTGAGAAGTTCCATTTAGTAGTTACTGATCTTACTGGGTCAGCAGACTTTTCTCCTTAGAGGCCAGACAGTAAATATTTCAGGCTTACAAGCTGAAGTGGTCTCTGTCCCAACTACTTAGCTCTGCCTTGTGTAAACAAGTAGAGTGGCTTTAAATAATAATAGTAGAGAGAGAAAGAAAGAAAAGAAAGAAATAAAAAAATAAATAGGGGGCAGCCCGGGTGGCTCAGCGGTTTAGCACCACCTTGAGCCCAGGGCGTGATCCTGGAGACCTGGGATGGAGTCCCATGTCGGGCTCCCTGCATGGATCCTGCTTCTCCCTCTGCCTGTGCCTCTGCCTCTCTCTGTGTGTGTCTCTCATAAATAAATAAATAAAATCTTTAAAAAAAGAAGAATAAATAAATAGATAAAAGCTTATTTACAAGAATGGGTAGCCAGCCATAGTCAACCAGCCCGGGTATGGAGAATCCTAAAGACATTTACTTACCCAGGATCACATGGCAGGGCAGCTAAAGAACCCAGTTTTTCTGTTTGCCAGTCTGGTGCTACATTCCACCTTTCTAAGTGGACTTCCTAGTGTCTGGAGGGGGAACTAACCTGATTCATTGAGAACAGCATTGAAAGTGAAGTCTGTCGGCAGAAGCCAGCATTCCAGCAGTTTCCAGTGTTGCATTTTGTGCTTCTCGTCCTTTGAGGCCAGATGATTTCTTTTCTCCTACCCCAGCACGAAAGTGGCCCCTCCTAAATGACATTCGTCATGTGATCTGTGCGTAAATGTGGAGGGAGCCAATAGCTTTTTCTACTTTCTTGCACCTTCCCCGCCCGCAGGCCTCCCCACCTTAACCTGTGCTGTGCATGTGGAAAGGGATCAATAACTCCTCACCCAGGCTGCCAGCTCAGGAGGTTGTTTTCTTTATGTCTCTAGCGCTCATCTACTTTCAAAAGCACAAAGTAAACCGAATGAGTGAAGTCACTGCGGTGTCTTTCAGCTTTGCTTGGAATTGTAGTCCCTTTATCACCAGCTCCTCTGGGGTTTCTATGGAAACAGTGGTGTGCAGTCACTCTTGTCACATGACTGGAGCATCTCCATGCACAGCACAGAATCCAGATGGCAAGGATTGTCTCTGTCACCTCCACAGGCAGGGTTTATGTTGCTGAGCAACTGGCTTTATCACTGAGCCAACAGGCGCTTTATATACACACCATGGATTCAAGTACATCCAGCATCTTTTGTCTGAGATAAGAAATGAAAGACCTCTTCTCCAGCCCTGAGAGATGACCTTTCCTTAACATGGTCTAGCAGGCCCTTTCCACTTTGTCTGTGGCCCTGTTACAGTTGTTTGCATTTTCATTTCACAGGCCAGGCATGGGGAGCAGCATGCCGCTCTACACTACCACATCCCCCTCCAGGATCTGAAGACTGTGTTCCCCCAGGGCCTGCCCCCTCGCTTCATCATGCAGGTGCTCCACGCAGGAGGGGGCTGAAGGTGGGGGGGGGGTTGAGGGGGCTCAGAACATGCTGCTACTGGCTGCTGGCAGAGGGTGGGATTCAGTGAGTAGAAAACTGTAGATGAAATTTAAATCTAAGACAGATGAGTTCAGCTGTTTTGTGAATAGTGCTGTTACTATAGTTACTTTAAGTGGGCTTTTATTTGTGGTGCACCATCGAGGGCAGGCATAATATTCTTAGATAAATGATAGCCCACTGTTTTCCTTGTGTTACCCACCTGACAGATTTCTAGAACCTTTGGCATTCAAATAATTGTTTATAATGAATTTAATATTTGCCTTAGCAAAAGATCATGAAAATGATTAGCATGTGTAGAGAATCACAATCTGTTCCTGAGCCAAACAGAAGTGATTTTTGGATTAGATGTATTATTGGTTTTCATTCTCCTGGATTTTCAGAAAATGTAGTTTTGTGGCTCCAACTTCAACCCAGACATGTAATCTTGGGTTGCTTTATAGCCATTGAAAGAGGGCAGCCTCGGTAGCACAGCGGTTTAGCGCTGCCTGCAGCCCGGGATGTGATCCTGGAGATCCGGGATCAAGTCCCATGTCGGCTCCCTTCATGGAGCCTGCTTCTCCCTCTGCGTCTCTTTCTCTCTCTCTCTCTCCGAATAAATAAAAAAATAAAATAAAATAAAATATTTATAGCCATTGAAAGAATTCATGATTAACTGAAAGCACAGTCTGTTGGCATCATTGGTTCTTTGGACTCAGTCCTGCTGAATTGCTGTCAGCCTCAAAGACGGTCCCTTCTTACTAAAATAGCAGACTTGACCATGCAGGTGATTTTCAGCCTCTGGAGCCAGAGGGTAGCATTCCTTGAGTGTGCTCTATTTCAGAAGATCAGATGAAACCCCAGTGAAGGAGTTAATTCTAGCCCATGAATAGCCTTGTCATCAAAACTTAAATTTGGGACTGGGGCGGGGGGGGGGGGGACTTATATTTGGAAATAGGACACAACCAGAAGGAGTCATCTGTGATGGCACTTAAACTGTCCAAAGACATTTGTAGTACAGCCTCTAGCTTTAGTGTTGTAACCAGCTCCAGTTGCTTTCAGACTGGCCTGACCCCCAGGGCTTTGGAGGGTATTACTCATACATTCTTTCCATAATTTCCATTTACGTGAAGGCCAGCTCCCCATTGTTTGTGTGTTTTAGTACGGTCATATTTCCTAATACGGCATTTCTGTTTTAATTTCTGTATCAGGTTTTTGAAGGTTTCACTTTTCATTAAATTTGAACTTGCCTGTCAAGTCCTTCCCCAATCGAGTTGCACAGATAGGATTTCTTTGAAAAATACCAACACTGGGGATCCCTGGATGGCTCAGCGGTTTAATGCCTGCCTTTGGCCCCGGGCATGATCCTGGAGTCCCGGGATTGAGTCCCACATCGGGCTCCCTGCATGGAGCCTGCTTCTCCCTCTGCCTGTGTCTCTGCCTCTCTCTCTCTCTCTCATGAATAAATAAGTAAAATCTTTAAAAAAAAAAAACAAAAACAGGGCACCCGGGTGGCTCAGTGGCTGAGCCTCCGCCTCAGTTTCGGCTAAGGTCATGATCTCAGGGTCATGGGATTCGGGCCCTAGTTTGGGTTCTGTGCTCAGTGGGGTGTCTGCTGGGCCTCCCTTGCTCTGCCCCTCTCCCTGCTCATGCTTGCACATAATGTCAAGTAAATAAATCTTTAAAAAGGAAAATGCCAACACTATTTTAATCCTCATGTCACACGTATCAGTGATTTCCAGATTTTTCCACCAGACTATTCCTGGTGACAAAAAAGGATTGAACTTTGTGTGTCAGTGCTCTGGCATCTGCATGTTGCTGGTGTCCAGAGTGGCCCATGGGCTTTGGGGCACCTGGTCACACCTGCTCTGAGCTGTCATATATGTATTTGTAGAGAAAAGTCCAGATACTTACAAGAATTAGCTAAAAATAAACTTAAAAGAATTAACATTTATTCAGTATTTACCATGTGTCAGATACTTTGTTAAACGTTTTACATTCTTTCAATATTTATGTTAATCCTAAGTGGTATACATAACTGTGTTACAAGATGGCTATAGATCATATGTAGATTTCAGCTTATGGACTATATGACTGACATAATATCACTGCTTCTTTAAGAGAAATAATCAGAAGGTGACTATTGTGTTACTTGCTATGGGTAACGTGTTTCAAATTTTAGCTGAATTATGTGGATACCAGCTGCCAGCCCAGCCTCTCCTGAGTGAACAGGTGAAGAGTGCACTTGGCTGCTCTGGTTATGGTATTAGGCTCAGTGTGCTGCACACACCACCTTGCCCTCCTTCTTGTTTTGTCAGGTGAAGACATTCAATGAAGCTTGTCTGATGGTGAGGAAACCAGCCCTCGAGCTTCTACATTACCTGAAAAACACCAATTTTGCTCACCCAGCTGTGCGGTATGTTCTCTGTATCCTTTCCTGCCTCCGGAGTTGTCTGGAGCCAATGAGGGTTAAGAGGAAGTAGAAAGGGGGGCCATTTGTTGACAGTGTAGGTGTCCCTTCTGGTGATGTTTTCTTTAACAATGGGTGCTCTAGATGGGGAGAAGGGGACAGGAAAAACCCTCAGTCTTTGCCACATTGTTCATTTCTGTGCAAAACAGGACTGGCTAATACTGCACATTCCAGATGGTAAGAACGCCCTCCCCTCACTGGGTCAGGTCAGGTCCCTGTTACAATGCTGGCATCCAGGCTGTGACAGCATCTAGGTTGCAACAGTTTTTCAGAAGCCTTCTGTTCCAGGTGCAGGCCAATCTAAGCTGGCTCATCATGATGTCACAGTAATCACAGGCAGGTGTATGTGCAACAAGAGGAAGTGCAGCAAAAACCTTACTAGAGCCTTTTGGTAATAAGAATGAAGTATTTTGGGGGTGCCTGGGTTTCTCAGTCAGCTGAGCGTCCTACTCTTGATTTCAGCTCAGGTCATGATCTCAGGGTTGTGGGATTGAGCCCTAAGTCAGGCTCCACACTCAGTAGGGCATCTGTGTGAGATTCTCCCTCCCTCTCCCCCTGCCCCACCCCTCCCACATGAACATGCTTGCTCTCTTGCTCTCGCTCTCTCTCAAATAAATAAATCTTTAACAAAAAAAGAAAAAAAGTATTTTGACCTAGTAGTCCTCACTTGGATGTGACACCCAAGAGCATGAACTCCTGCCTTAGAGGTCACCACAGGCTCTCCTGCCAACGGTCAGCAGTTTTGAGTCCCTGGGGTTAGGGGGGGCACGTGGGGCTATTTGTTAGCATCCTAGAGCCATCAGCATGGATCTTGAAAACTTAAACTCTCATACTTCACGTGCAGCCCTCTCCGTTGTGTTGGGCATTGCGCACATCCGGTGAGGGTTTTCTCTCTTTAAAAACTGCCAGGAAAAAAACAACAACTGCCAGGAAGCTAAAGTGACCTTTAACCCGCTTGAGTAGTAATTGCAATCGTGTAATCTCAGATGGACCAGACAGAAATGTAAACCTCCGAAGTTAAGAGGTCTTTAAGAAATACATAGTTCGCTCTTGAACAGCATGATTTCCAACTTGCTGGTCCTCTTACACACAGAAGTCTTTCAATACATCATGGGCTGTAAATATATCTTCTCATCCTTAGGATCTTCTGAGTCACATTGTCTTTACACTGACTTGCTTGACTAAGAATACAGTGTATAAAATACGTACAGCATTCAAAATCTTTCTTCATCGACTCTGTTATCAGTAAGGCTTCTTCTGGTCAGTTACAGGCTAGTAGTAGTTCAGTTTTGGGGAGTCCGAAGTTAGATGCAATTTTTTTTTTAAGATTTTATTTATTCATGAGAGAGACAGAGAGAGGGGCAAAGACACAGGCAAAGAGAGAAGCAGGCTCCCCAGGGGGACCCTGATGTGGGACTCAATCCCAGGACCCCAGGATCATGACCTGAGCCGAAGGCAGATACTCAACTGCTGAGCCACCCAGGCACCCGATGCAGATTTTCAAGTGCATGGCAGGGGGGCCAGTGTCCCTCGCACCTTGCTGTTCAAGAGTCATCTCCTGTAACGTAAAGAAGCAGAGAGTATTTTGAGTTGAATACAGTCAGTTCCTGCCTGGTTTGTATCCTTGTTTGTTTTTTTTAGCTCATCTTTGGGTGAAAAATTGTCGAGGTCTCCTGCAGTCTTCCTACAACAAGCAGCGCTTTGATCAACCTGTAGAGGCTTCGATATGGCTGAAGAATTTCAAAACTGCAAATGAGCGTTTCTTGAGTCAGGTGACTAGACTCCCAGAAGTTCGATGCTGGACAGTCTCTTAAATAGACTTTATCTTTGTTGTGTCTTGAGCACAGTTGACTGTAGAGAACTAATATCATAGTTGGGGTCACTGTGCCATGTTCCTCTCGTACATTTTATGCTTATCTGTGTGAAATACAGCAGTGGTATAAGCCATCCCTGGGAATTTTCTGAGGAGCAAAGTGCAGTGCAGATGGATTCACTGACTTTTCCGCAGCAACAGACTCACATCCTCTGAGGCATATTTTCAGCTGTGTAATCTTCGCCAGATAAGGTCTTCCTTTTTTTTTTTTTTTTTTTTTTTTAATAAATTTTTATTTATTTATGATAGTCACACAGAGAGAGAGAGAGAGAGAGGCAGAGACACAGGCAGAGGGAGAAGCAGGCTCCACGCACTGGGAGCCCGACGTGGGATTCGATCCTGGGTCTCCAGGATCGCGCCCTGGGTCAAAGGCAGGCGCCAAACCGCTGCGCCACCCAGGGATCCCGAGATAAGGTCTTCCATGGAACTAGACATGTATTGGCAGAATTATTCTTTGCTCTGGTGATTCTTGGATACAATCTCTAGGCCAGAAGTTTTCAACTCTGGATATAAATCCAAGTCATCTCGGAGAGCTGGTTATGAATGTGGTTGCCACAGCCTCATCCCAGACCTTTGTTTTCAGCCTCACCGGCTTTGTTCTTGAGCCCCAGGCAGAGAAAGGCTGGGAGGCATTCACTTTTATTCTGGAGGCTCTTACACAGCTGGAAAAATCAACTCAAACGGACTCCTAACAACCTTACCTTCCTACCTTCTTAGTTGGGATCATCTTTAGGCTAAATAGCTTTTTTTGTTGTTTTTATTTTGTTTTTAGATAAAAATTCAAGAGAAGTACGTCTGGAATAAGCGAGAAAGCACTGAGAAAGGCAGTCCTCTGGGAGCAGTGGTTGAACAGGTATAAAAAAAGTCCCTAGGGGATCCCTGGGTGGCTTAGCGGTTTAGCACCACCTTCGGCTCAGGGCGTGATCCTCGGGTCCCAGGATCGAGTCCCACGTCGGGCTCCCTGCATGGAGCCTGCTTCTCCCTCTGCCTGTGTCTCTGCCTCTCTTTCTCTCTCTCTCTCTCATAAATAAATAAATAAACAAACAAACAAACAGTCTTTAAAAAAAAAAGTCTCTGGATGTGGACCCTCATTCCAGAGGCCTCTTCTGGGCTGCAGGCCTCTGCCTCTCTTCCCTGCAGGGCCTGACGCGGGTGAGGAATGCCACAGATGCAGTTGGGATTGTCCTCAAGGAGCTCAAGAATCAGAGTTGTTTGGGTGCGTTCCGTCTGTTGGTGGCGGTGGACGGAGTCAATGCTCTCTGGGGAAGGACCTCGCTGAAGAGGGAAGATAAGAGCCTGGTAGGAAAACCCAGTTTGTCTTGTCACTCTGACCTCTAGCACCGGTGTGTGTGGCGGCTGGACATAGCCTCATAGCCCATGCGCTAGATTTTCTTGCCTTGGGAGTATGTGGATTGAGATGGAGGGTGAAGATGGCACCTGGGGCCGAGGGGGGTGCGGAAGCCCCCCTCCCCCAATACCATGAAAACCAAGGCAGGGATTTGGATACCAACCCCCACAGCAAAACCTGTGTTTGTCCATTTCTCTTGCCCCTCTATTTTCAGAATGGGGCTAGGTGACTGTTTTCTGTATTGTGGCACCCAAGCCACCTACCTCTGAGCAGAAGACAGCAGCATCGGGTTGGGGGTGTTCTCCCTCGGTGACTGGTTTTCATCAGAAACTGGGTGGAGGGCAGAGGGGTCCAGGGCTGGCAGCCCCTTCCTCTCAGAGGCTATGCCATTGGTTGCTGGGTTTATGGAACCGCTGAGAACGTTCTAGTTGGTGCCAGGAGAGCGTCCTGGGGGAGCTCGTCCTAACATCTATCCCCTGTCCTCACACTGGCGGCGTGCAGATAGCCCCTGAGGAGCTGGCGCTCGTGTGCAGCCTGAGGAAGATGGTGAGAAATGACTGGGTGAGTACACAGGATGCTCACTACTCGTCAGTCTCTGAGTTTAGGGAAGAAAGCTCTTCTGTCTCTTCTAATTCCCATAACTGCTAGAAGTTAAAGTCTATGTATTTAGGGGCGCCTGGGGGGACTCAGTTGGTGAAGCGCCTGCCTTCAGCTCAGGTCATGATCTCAAGGTCCTGGGATCGAGCCCCACATTGGGCTCCCTGCTCAGCGAGGAGTCTGCTCTCTCCCTCTGCCCCTCCCCCTGCTTTCACTCCCCCTGCCAATAAATAAATAAAATATTTAAGTCTGTGCATTTGGTCTCTTAATCTTTCCACCTGATTGGGGAAAAACTCATTGTATTTAAATATTGGCACAATTTTACTTGGCAGTTGTTCAGAGTGTTTTTATGTCTTAACTTTGGAAAAGATTTTGATAAACGTTGAGATCATGTAGCAGTTTGTGGTCCAGAGCCAAATGCAGAACTAAGAACCTGTTCAGTTGCCATTTACCTGTACTAAAAATCTACAGATGATTAAAAGCATTTTTTAATCTTCTCCACTCTTTCCTCATTTGGCCTGTGTCCTCTCTTTCAGCACGGAGGCGCCATTGTGTTGACGCTTAGCCAGACTGGGTCTCTCTTTAAGCCAAGGAGGGCCTATCTGCCCCAGGAGCTGCTGGGAAAGGTACGATCATCAGAAAATCTGGTTCCCCTTAGTCACTCTGTCTGAAGAGGGTTTTGTTTTGTTTTGTTTTTTAATTTTTTTAATTTTTATTTATTTATGATAGTCACAGAGAGAGAGAGGCAGAGACACAGGCAGAGGGAGAAGCAGGTTCCATGCACCAGAAGCCCGATGTGGGATTCGATCCCGGGTCTCCAGGATCGCACCCTGGGCCAAAGGCAGGCGCCAAACCGCTGCGCCACCCAGGGATCCCATGTTTTGTTTTGTTTTTAATGAAATTACAGGCTTGAAGAAAAATCGTATTCCTGTATGACTTCACCCAGATTCCTAAAGTGTTAACACTTTTCCATATTGGCTTTATTCTTCTGCATCTACTTTTTCCCCTGAATTATGTAACAGTAATCGGAGACATGATGCCTATTTCTAAATAACATGTATTTCCTTAATCAGAGATATCCTAAATATACAACCACAGCATAATTATCAGGAAACTAGCATTGGTATAATTCTGTTAGCTCATCTTTAGGACTTACTGCGATCTTGGCAGCTGTCCCAATACCCTTCCCAAAGACAGAAAGTCCCGGATTGAGTGTCACAGTCGACTGTCCTGATTCTTCAGTCTCCTTCAGTCTGGGACAGCACCTCAGTCTTTGTCTTTACAACCTTAATATTTCTGTATTGGAAGAGTACGTGCCAGTCATAGGTGGCTTTGTGAGTGTTTTCTCCTGAGCACGTGATGTTAGATGTGATGCTGTGTGTCCTTGAGGCACCTCTGAAACCCATCTCTCCTGGCAGCTGCTAGAATGAACTTCGGACACTTGGTTCCAGGTGCCATCCATCTGGTTTCTCCTCAGGAGACTGACAGTCTGCCTTCTGTAATGAATAAGCTCCTCATGGAGATAGGCTTTGAGGTTGTGTCACTGTCCCATTATTCCTCACACTTTACCTTCTGGTTTGAGCATCCACTTGTGATTCTTCCCTAAACTCAGGTGTGATACTTGCAAAATGGTATCTTCTAGCTCCTTCATGTCTTCTACATGTGTCAGCTGGATTTCTGGCAAGAACTTATTTTCCCCTGACACATTTGTTTCAGTATGGACATGTAGACTCCTCTTTAATTAGTTCTAAACTTTTGCTATCATTATTTTGGTGCTTAAATTATCCCAGATTTGGCCAGCAGATGCCCCTTCAAACTGGCTTCTGTATCCTTTTCATATGCCCCCATCATTCTTGAGGCCCTACTTTACTTTTGGGGAAGGAATATATATGTTCCACACTCGTCTTATCCTTTCCATGTGCTGTCCTAGAATCAACCACTCCTCCAAGCAGCCCCAGTTCATTGTAGAGAAGAGTATTCAGATCCAAGGCCTGGGGAGCGCCTGGCCAGCTCAGTCAGTAGAGTGTGTGACTCTTGATCTCAGGGTCATGAGTTCAAGGTCCACATTGGGTGTGGAGCCTACTTAAAAAAAAAAAAAAAAAGTTTAAAATATGCTCTTCAAGAGGTAGAACCAAATCCCCCAACTCTTAAGCATGGGCTGGCTTTTAGATCCCAAGACGTGAGTGTTCAGTATATTTATGCTGCTGGAGTATCACTTCTAGGCCTTTGAGTCTGACAATAGGTACCCATCCTATTATTTTATTTGTTTGTTTGTTTGTTTATTAATTAATTAATTATAGTCACAAAGAGAGAGAGACGCAGAGACATAGGCAGAGGGAGAAGCAGGCCCCATGCACCGGGAGCCCGATGTGGGATTCAATCCCGGGTCTCCAGGATCGCGCCCTGGGCCAAAGGCAGGCGCCAAACCGCTGCGCCACCCAGGGATCCCAATAGGTACCCATCCTAGTCATGCTGCACACATACATGGGTATGTGCCATGTTCACATGTATGTGTCTCCATGTACACACCCACACACCTCTGTCCGTTTCTTTGTCTTTGTGGAAAACCGGTGAGCTCACATCGATACCAGCCAGCGTCGCAGCCTCACCTTCCGCCTCCTCCTGGGTCTCCACCAGTCACCACCTGCGTGGTGTCTCCCTGCTGGCGCGGCCCAAGCTCGCAATGACAGCACTTCCATGGCTGACAACACTTTGTGAATAGGACACTGCAGACTGGGGCTCAGTATTTGCTTAGTGTGCTTTTTGTCCTCCTGGACAGGGTCTTTCTTTGTCCAGGGGCCCTGTTCAGAAGTGAACTCAGGCTGGCTTCCCTCCTTAGGTGTTATTTGAAATTTGAAATACACTTTGATTCATTTGTTTCAGTCTTCATTCCATATTTAGTGGATCTTTATCCCCACCCTTGTTAATTTTCTAGTTTTTGAGTTTATCAAAGTATCTTAAGTGGTTGTTGGCTACTAAATAAAGTCAGACCTGTAAAAAAAATTTTTTTAAATAAAATAAATTATATACATAGAGACACACTCAGACAGGTGGTGGCCCCCAGCAGGATGGTGTCTTTTACAAATGCAGATGCATGGCCATGAACGACAGCAGCCAGCTGCCCTATGCAGAGCCCCAGTGAGAAGCAGAGAAGGAAAGCAGGACCTTCCCTGCAAGCATTTATGTCCAGTCTCTCTCTCTGCTGACTCCGTACTAAGTGGCTACTCTTCCTTCTCCAGGAAGGATTTGATGCCCTGGATCCCTTTATTCCCATCCTGGTCTCCAACTATAACCCAAAGGAGTTTGAAAGTTGTATCCAGTATTATTTGGAGAACAAGTGGCTTCAACATGAGAAAGGTGGGTTATAAAATTTTTCCCTGTCAGGGCTTTGTGCTCTCCTTTCCACAGCAACAGCCTACAATTCGTGTTTGTCTTCTCCCTTTATCTGGCCGCCTCTCTGGCCAATTAGACAGTAGGAAAGGCAGGGGGTGGGGTGGTCAAGGTTTAATTTACACAACAGCACATACTTCTCTTCCCAAGATCTCACTAGTTGGTCTAGAGTAAGATGCTCGTGCTACTACCCAGCTGTGTGTGGGCAGCTTGCCAGCAGCAGAGCAGCCTCAGCTCTGGGCGGGTGGAGGAGGCAAGAAGGTGGTTCTGTTGCAGGGTAAGAGAGGACTGGCTGCCAACGAGGAGGTTATTCCAAGAATAGAGGGGAGAGTATAAAGCAGCTGTAGCATTTGGAGGTTTGGGAGGCACAATGCAGAGATTTCTCAGGGAGCTGGCATTTGACAAAGTCCAAAAGTCCAGAAGATGTTCTTTGGAACAGTGGGAGACAGAGATGCCAGACTAGAGGAATAAAGACAGGAAAAATAATAGTTTTCGGAGACAACAAAAGTGAGGTCTCTTAGGAGTGGTCATTGCATTCCAACATGATCTGGATCACGGAGCCTCCACACAGACGTTTCTGGGTGACACCATGCTGCAGAGAGCACTGCCAGCTGTCCTTCCCCCTCCCTCCCCCTGCCCACCAGCTCATACGGAGGAAGGGAAGAAAGAGCTGCTGTTCCTGAGTGACGCCAACCCCGGGCAGCTGGAGCGGCTCTGCGCCTACCTTTAGGTCACTGTGCACATCTGCTCCCAGCCTTCACTGAAGAGTGACCAGAGCAGCCAGGAGATGCCCTCCTGTTCCTAAAACTAGTTCATTAGCTGGGGTTTTTCATGTTAGGTAATTATGGATTTTTCCCTAAAATAAATTATCTTTCTTAAAAGTGTTGTATCAGGCTTATAAAATGGAAAGAGGCTTCAGTTGGCCAAATTGAATTTCTCTGACGTTCTGTAAGGGGTGTGAAGAGACCAGATTCTGCAGAAACTTCCACTAGTTCTAGACTTTATTCAGGTGAGGAGACTGACATTCACCCCTTCAGTTCCCCCTCTGGCACCCGGACACACCCGCCGATGGCCTCTCCATGCTGCCTAGGCCTTGCCCCTTCCCGCCAGGCCCAAGGACTTGGCCCCACACGCCTGCTACACACCCACAGGAGGCAGAGGCCTCTCCCTCACACAGATATGTGTGCCAGCTTTGGGAGATTTGGGAAAATAATGACTCCCAGCAGTTTCAGGGAGTTGAATCCTCTGCCCCACTCACGTCAGGACAGCCAAGTTCAAGCCCTGCTGCCTCATCCAAACCGTCACAGGGCCCGTGTCCTGCTGGTTCCACCTGTCCTAACAGTAATGACGCCAAACTTCAGGGGCATATCGTGAGCACTGAATCACCGTGTGGAAAGTGCCTCACACATGGGCGGTACTAAGTAGTCATGACCATTAGGACTTGACTTTCTAACACTTTCTCTGAACACTGGCCACAAGGGAGACCATCTGGATGGGGTCAGAATTTTGACCAGAGACCTAGCTTCCCCCACACCTCACCATCCTTGAGGGCTCCATCTCTGAACCCGACCTTCTCCCAGACCCAGTCCTTTGTCAGGTCTACTGGCCTGGGTCCTGAACCCTGCTCTACAAAGCCTGTTCCCCCAGCCCCCAGCCCTGGGAGGCCTGATGCCCTTACCCCATCCTGTGCCACCTGCCACCCGACTCACATGCCTCCCTCAGTGGATGGCCAGGGCCTCAGGTTCATCTCCGTGGGAGTCAAAGCCCCTCGTCCCCTCCATCCTCACTGCTCTCTACCTACATCCCTCCTGCCCCCTTGTCTTGTTTCACAGGACCACCCACTTGAGTCGACCTCCAGCCCAAGTCATTCAGTGGATTCCATTTGCCTTTATTCCTGTTTCTGCTGCATCCAAACCACAGAAAAACATGTCATGGAAACCAGCCTCCTTTCTTTTCCTCCTCTCCTAGAAGCAACTTCTGTTACTAGTTCTAGGGATAAAAGTCCTAGTATAGTCCACATAAAAAATAGGCATTTTTAAATTTTTTTAAAAGCTTTTCTTCAAGAGAGAGAGAGAAAGAGCATGAGCAGGGGGAGGGGCAGAGGGAGAAGGAGACCCTCCTGAGCAGGGAGCCCAACTTGGGGTTCCCCCTAGGACCCTGAGATTATGACCTGAACCAAAGGCAGACACTTCACCGACTGAGCCACCCAGGGGCAGGGAGTCTGCTTCTCCCTTTGCCCTTCCCCCTGCTTGTGCATGCTCTTTCTCTCAAATAAATAAAATCTTTAAAAAAAAAAAAAAAAGCTACAGGCTGGGGGAAAATATCTGCAAATTCATGTATATATCAGAATATATAAAGGACTATTACTCATTAATAAGAAAACACAGTTTAAAACTTGGTAAATAATTTGGACATCCCGGACAAGCTTATGAGAAGTTGTTCTGCATCACTAGCGACAGGAAAATGCGAATCCAGATCATTGAATGGCCAGGGCACACCCACCAAGACGGCTGAAATTACACAGGGAGGCTCTGAGATACAGGAACCATCACACCTCGCCAGTATAAATATACAATGGAAATACAAATTTTCTAACATGCTTCCACTTTAGAAAACAATCTGGCAGTTCCTAAAAATGTTAAACATGGAGTTAGCACATAAGCAACTCAACCCCCAGGTGTTTACCCTGGAGAAATGAAAATGTGTCCATGCAAAGATGTGTATTCAAGCAGCATGAGGCACAGCAACATGATTCATGACTGCTCAATGATGGGAATAACCCAAATACCCATTATTTGTAAGCAGGTAACCAGAACAGAGCACGTATTAGTAACTGCTACCACACGGGGAGCCTCTGACACGGAACTGAGAGACTCCCACACAAAAGACCACATGTGGGAGGATTATGTCCAGAAAGTGCAAATCCATACAGGAAGAAATGGTGAATGGCTGCCTGGTGTTGGGGGGAATGGGGTTCAGCTGTAATCATTGGAGGATTCTGGAAGATGATGAAAATGTTTTCAGACTGAACTTTGGTAAATGAATGCACAACTCTATGTAAAACTGTGTCCGACTTGTTCCTTCCCTTCATTTGCAAGTCACACCCTCACTGGGCTCTCACAGCTCCCGAGGGCCCATTGGGCTCCTCTCCAGGTCCCTCACTCAGGCATTTATTTCCCTGATGAGGCACTTGCATGGGTGATGCCACTCTGGTGTTTGCTGCTGGTGTATGCAGTCTTCAAGACACAAATCCAAACTTGCAAGTAAAAAGTCAAAAAATATATACTATTCAAACACCAAAGGAAAGCTGATTCATCTGTATTATTACCAAGAAAAGTAGACAATAAGATAAAACAGCATTTTGGGGCGCCTGGGTGGCTCAGAGGTTGAGCTTCTGCCTTTGGTCCAGGTCGTGGTCCTGGGGTCCTGGGACTGAGTCCCAGGGGAGCCTGCTTCTCTGTCTCTCTCTCTCTCTCTCTCTCTCTCTCTCATGAATAAATAAAATCCTTTTAAAAAACCCAGCATTTTTAGAGAGAAGAGGGATATTTTAAAATGGTAGAAGGTTCATCAGAAAGATAAAACTATTACAAAGTAGTATGCCCTAATAACATAACCTAAGAAAATGGAAACTGACAAAATATAAGGAAAAATAAACCATGGTGGTAGGAATATACTTTAGTAACTCATAGATGACAGCCAATCAGAACAGATATTCTAGTAGCATAATTAACAAACTTGTCAATGAAAGGATTTTTTTTAATTAAACCAAAACACTTCTGAATATACATTCTTCTAAAGCACACCTATCCCTACCTGAATAGATATTCAAAACTTGACTCTCACTGGGTGGGCCATGTCACCAAATTTCAAAGAGCTTAAATCATGAATGGTATTCTCTGACCCCACTGTAATTTAAGCCAAAACTCAATTCCAAATACATGCACAGAAAATCCCTTATGTTTGGATATCACGAAATACTCTTCTGAGAAGAAAATCAGAATGGAAATGAGAAAGTAATTCAAACTAAATGATTATGAAAATACTAAACTCAAAACCAAAAATTTGGTTCTCTAAAAATACTATTAAAATTGGGGGTAGGGGCACCTGGGTGGCTCAGTGGTTGTGAATGTCTGCCTTTGGCCAGGGTGTGATCCTAGGGTCCTGGATCCAGTCCCACATTGGGCTCCTTGTGGGGAGCTTGCTTCTCCCTCTGCCTGTGTCTTTGCCTCTCTCTGTTTATCTCTCATGAATAAATAAAAGCTTTTTAAAAAAAAATAAAATTGGGGGTACCTGAGTGGCCCCATTGGTGAAGCATCTGCCTTCAGCTCAGGTCATAATCCTGGGGTCCTGGGACCAAGTCCTGCATCGGGCTCCTCAGCAGGGAATCTGCTTCTCCCTCTGCCTTTCTTACCACTCATGCTCTCTACCTCAAATAAATATATTTTAAAATACTATTAAAGTTGATTTTTAAAAAACTCTGGTGAGAATATTTAAAAAAAAAGTAAAAATAACTTTTTACTTTTGAAATGAGCAACATCAGAAATGATAAAGGTGGGGGGCAGCTCAGGTGGCTTAGCGGTTTAGCGCTGCCTTCAGCCCAGGATGTGATCCTGGAGACTTGGGATCGAGTCCCACGTCGGGCTCCCTGCATGGAGCCTGCTTCTCTCTGCCTGTGTCTCTGCCTGTTTCTCTCTGTGTCTCTCATGAATAAGTAAATAAATCTTTTTTTAAAAAAATGATAAAGGTGGGAGACCTGGGTGGCTCAGTGGTTGAGCATCTGCCTTCAGCTCAGGGCATGATCCCGGGGTCCTGGGATCGAGTCCCAAAGGGAGCCTGCTTCTCCCTCTGCCTGTGTCTCTGCCTCTCTCTGTGTCTCTCATGAATAAATAAACATCTTTATAAAAAAAAAAAAAAGCTTTGGAGAGGGACAAATACATTATTATTTGTGGAAATGCTGGTGTAGAAATCCAAGAGTCTACAGATAAATTATTAAAAGTACTATGTGAGCATAGCAGTGTCACTGGATATGTCAGTCTACACATCAGCTGCATTTCTCCATAACAATAGAAAATAAAAATTTTAAAGATTTCACTTACAATAGCAACAAAACTATAAAAAACATAATGTAACAAGATATGTGTATGATGTTTATAGATAAAACTATAAACTATTGGAGAAAAAGATCTCAATAAATGGTAGGACAGAAACTAGAAAAAAAAAAAAAACTAGAAAAGTTACTACCATAAAGGTGTCAGTTCTCCCCAAACCGATCTACAGAGATGCAATGCTTTCCCAATCACGATACCTAGAGATTTTTAAATTTTTCTTTGCAACTTGACAAACTAATTCTAAATTATATGTGGACATAAAAGAGCCCAGAATAGACGTGTCTCTCACCTTTTACACTATTTTGGAAACTGTCAAACCTACAGGAATGCAGAAAACAGTACAAAGGAATCCCATATAACCTTCACTCAATTGTTAAATTTTGTCACACTAGCTTTAGCTTTCTACAGATTTATGTCACCATTTGAAAGTAAATTGCAGACAATTCTTTTATCACATTTCTCCTAGGAATACAATATTTTACATACCCAGCATATCACTAACATACCAAAGTAACCCGTCAGTATAACGTTCTCTAATATGGTGGGGTTTTTTGTTTTTTTGGGTTTTTTGTTTGTTTGTTTTTTACGATTTTATTTATTCACAAGAGACACAGGCAGAGACACAGGCAGAGGGAGAAGCAGGCTCCATGCAGGGAGCCTGACTCAGGACTCCATCCCGGGACTCCAGGATCACGCCCCAAGCTAAAGGCAGATGGTCAACCGCTGAGCCACCCAGGTGTCCCATGCTCTATTTTTTTTTTAACGTGCTCTATTTTTCAAGTTTTCCAGTTATCCTAACTTCTTCGTGGCTGTCCCACCGCACCTCCACACTAATCCACATTCAACCAAAGTCTATACAACACATTTACACTGAAATCTCTTTAGTGTCCTGTTAGTTTCAGTAGACCCTCTGGTTTTTCTGTTATTTGACATTTTTTAAAATGCCAGGCCAGTTATTTCAGTTATCCCACATTATGGATTTGTTGAATTGTTCCCTTCAGATACAGGTTAAATACTTTTGACAAGCACAGCAGACAGTTGATGCTTTCTATCTACTACACTTGACATCATTGTGGTTTGTTTCATTCATGGTGATGCTAAATTGGATCACTTGGTTAATTCTGGCATCCATCATTGTAAACGTACCTTTTCTCAATGTACTTAACAAATAAAGCGTTACTTTGAAATCCTGAAACCATCCCATTTTTTGATAAATTATCACCCAAAGGTTTTAACGTCCACTGATGATGGCCATCTAAATTAATTCTTTAATTGATGGCTGCAATCTAAATTCTGGCCTTCCCGAGACACCTGGGTGGCTCGGTGGTTGGGCATCTACCTTCAGCCCAGGGTGTGATCCTGGAGTCCTGGAATCCAGTCCCACATTGGGCTCCTGGAAGGGAACCTGCTTCTCCCTCTGCCTGTGTCTCTGCCTCTCTCTGTCATGAATAATTAAAATCTTTTGAAAAAATAAATTCTATCATTCCTTCTACGTTTATTAGCTGCTATTCTTCCGTCACCTCTAACACCTTCCCCCTCCTTTTTTTTTAATTTTTATTTATTTGTGATAGTCACACACAGAGAGAGAGAGAGAGAGACAGGCAGAGACATAGGCAGAGGGAGAAGCAGGCTCCATGCACCGGGAGCCCGACGTGGGATTCGATCCCGGGTCTCCAGGATCACGCCCTGGGCCAAAGGCAGGCGCCAAACCACTGCGCCACCCAGGGGTCCCACCTTCCCCCTTTTTTAAGTCTCCTTGGGACTCTAAGACACTTTTTAAAACATGGTGTTTAAACATCCTGTGAAACTGTAACGGACCAACAGAAAAGGATCAAGAGCCCAGAACATAACGTAAACAGCATTAGTAATATTTGAAAAGGTCCATAAACGTGACTGTATTTAAAAAGACAAAATAGGGACGCCTGGGTGGCTCAGTGGCTGAGCTTCTGCCTTCTGCTCAGGTTATGATCCTGGGGTTCTGGACCGAATTCCACATTGGGTTCCCTGCAGGGAGCCTGCTTCTCCCTTTGCCGGTGTCTCTGCCTCTCTGTCTCTCATGAATAAATAAATAAGATCTTTAAAAAAAATAAAAAAAATAGACAAAATTCTGTTCTAAAAACTCCCTTTAAGGAAGGGAAAAAGCAACCAGAGTGAGAGTAGGTATTTTCAACACATAATCAACAAAGGTTGTATATCCTGAATAACTTACTCCTACAAATCAAGGAGACAACCCGAAAGACACATGGCCAGGGGACTCAAACATGCACTTCAAAAAAGGATATCCTTGGGACACCTGGGTGGCTCAGCGGTTGAGCGTCTTCCTTTGGCTCAGGGTGTGATCCCGGGGTTCTGGGATCTAATCCCACATTGGGCTCCCTGCATGGAGCCTGCTTCTCCCCCTGCCTATGTTTCTGCTTCTGTGTGTGTGTGTCTCATGAATAAAATCTTTAAAACACACACACACAAAAACCCATAAAAGGATATCCAAGTGGCTCATAAACTTATGAAAAGGTGCTCTCAACCTCGTTAGTAATTAACACCAGTGACTAAGGCAATTTCTAAAGGTTACGGTGCATCAACTGAAACTCCCCTACGCTGGTGGTGGTTTACACCGGTAGTGAGTTTAAAGGGACAGTTTGGTGGTATTTACCCAGTCACAGCACAGCCTTCCCTCGACCCCCGTCCACGCCAGGCGCTCACCCCGGGGAGGCGAGCGCAGGTGCTCCCGGACCCGTCCCCCACCCCGCCCACTCCAGGTGCACGCCCCAGGGACGTGGGCGCAGGTGCAGGAGCACGGGAAGGCTCGGGGAAGCACGCCGAAGCGACCCCGGCCCCCCATCAGCGGAGGCTTTGTCGGCGGAGCCCCAGCACAGCGAGGCCACTGAAGAGGCTGGGGGTACGCGCTGGCCTGAGGAAGAGTTTCTCCGACAACCCAGCCCAGGCCCGCCTTACGACGCCTCGTTCCCGTACGGTGCCGGCCAGCCAGCCGGGCTGTGACCCGCGTGGAACAGGGGCGCCTACTCTTCGGGCCAGGGGTGCGTCTCCGGAGGCGCGGTCGGCCAGCGGCAGCAGGTAGGGAGGAAGGAAACCGCGGCACAGGCCGCGCAGCAACCGGGAGCCGAGAACTGCCTCTGCAGAGCCGCAGGCCGCACCCACCCCACGACGCCCCGCCCCGCGACTTCCGACCCTCAGTCCCCGCCCACACGGCTACGAGCCAATCGGCGCCGAGCGGCGAGCGCGCCGGCCGCGTCCGTGCGACCCAGCGGAGCCGAGCGGCATGGCGGGCGGGGTGCGGGAGGTGCTCACGCTGCAGTTGGGCCACTTCGCAGGCTTCGTGGGAGCGCACTGGTGGAACCAGCAGGTGAGGCCTCCAGGCGGCCGCTCCCGCGGGGCCGAGCCCGCGAACTCGGCTAAGGCCAGCCTTGCCTTGTGCCACCCCAGGATGCGGCGCTGTGCGCTCCGACCGACGCCAAAGAGCCGCCGGGGGAGCTCAGTCCCGATGTCCTGTACCGGGCCGGCCGGACGCCGCACGGCCAGGAGACCTACACGCCCAGACTCATCCTCATGGATCTAAAGGGTAGGCAGAGCCACACTGGAGGCGGCGCGGCCAGGACCTCGCCGGGCGCCGCCGCTCCAGGCTGAGCGGGGCACCGAAGGCCGGCGCCCAGGGTTTTCTCCGCCTCCTGCTCAGTCGGGAACGCTTGGAAGAGCCCAGTGCCCGAGGAGGGTGCGGCCAGGCCCGACCTAACCCTGCCTGCCCCGTGTTGTGCAGGTAGTCTGAGCTCCCTCAAACAAGAAGGCGGCCTGTACAGCGACAGACAGCTGGACGCGTCGATAGCATGGTATGTGCTGTTCAGGGGAGGGCGAGGTTCACAGGACGCCGCAGAATCGGGGACACAGTCGCTGTCAACCAACCCTCATTCTCTTTCAGGCAGGGAAAGCTCACCACACACAAAGAGGAACTCTGTCCCAAAAACCCCTACTACCTCCAGGACCTTCAGAGTGCAGAGGTGAGGGCCTCTGCCCTAAACTTCTGAACCCAGTGCTGTAACTAGAGTGCCCCACGGGGGCAGAGAAAAAAGGGGATTTTGATAATCTTAAAGAGCTTAGAATGGCATTTTGTGAAAAAGCACTTTTTTCCTAAAATAGTGTGAGTACGTGAACAAAAGGAAGTTGTACAGTGTGGCCAGCAAAATGAGGGAAATTAACATTTGCTTCCAGACTGGCTGCAACTAAATGCAGATTTTTCTCATCCCTCCCAGGGAGTGCTGAGTAGTGATGGTATCTGGAGGGTCAAATCCATTCCCAATGTCAAAGGTGAGACTTCACTAGGTGCCATGGGCTGGGGAGCTGGACAGAACTAGACCAGGAAGATACTTTCCTTTGCTTTTCCCTCAGGTCCCCCACCATTCACCACAGCTACAGCCCCCAAACCACATGTCCCCACAGAGGGAAGCATCAGAGTCTGGTCAGATTTCCTCAACGTCCACCTTCATCCCCGGAGCATCTGTATGATTCAGAAATACAACCATGATGGGTATGGGAGCCCCAGAGGATGTGAAGCAGGAAACTGGGTCCCTAGGGGTGTAGGATGAAGCTCTTGAGGCCATCTTCCCTGTACTCCCTGAAAATGGGATGGGGAAGGGGGGTGAGGGCGGGGTTCCCTCAAGTCTAGGTTGTGTTCATGCTTGGCAGGGAAGCAGGTCGCCTAGAGGCGTTTGGCCAAGGCGAGAGTATCCTGAAGGAACCCAGGTACTTGGAAGAGCTGGAAGACAGACTGCATTTTTACCTGGAGGAATGTGACTACCTGCAGGTAAGCAGTAGGCACAGTGGACACGGGCAGAAACCTCTTGCTGTCCTGTCCTCCATCACTCGTCTCCTTTCAGGGCTTCCAGATCCTGTGTGACCTACACAATGGCTTCTCTGGGGTTGGTGCCAAGGCCACAGAGCTGCTACAAGACGAGTATTCGGGGCGGGGAATAATCACCTGGGGCCTGCTCCCTGGTCCGTACAGTCTTGGAGTGAGTAGAACCTGCGGGAAGGGCCGTCTCCAGGGGCAGGGAGGAACAAAAGAGAATGACAGCCCAGGGACAAAGTTCCTGAAAACAAATTAACCCTTCTCTTCCTCAGGAGCCCCAGAAAAACATCTATCGTCTATTGAACACAGCCTTCGGCCTGGTGCACATGTCTGCTCACAGCTCTCTGGTCTGCCCCCTGTCCTTGGGTGGGAGCCTGGGGCTGCGGCCTGAACCACCTGTCACTTTTCCTCACCTACGTTATGATGTAAGGCTCGAGGCTTTTGTTCACACCGTAGGTACAGACAGCACCCTCCCTGACCCCCAACCGGCCACTGCACCAGTTAGCAGCCCTAGTCTCAAGGCCTCAGTTTGGACTCATCCACAATGCAGCACACTGTCCTCTGCATGTCCGGCCTCGGGCCAAACATAGCCTCGCTTTGTCCCAGGGCATCTGGACCTCTCTGCCGTGTTCATTCTGCTTCCACACTCTGTTTACCAGACCTGAAAGCTAAGTACCCTTGCTGGTATCTTCTTTATAGGCTGCTCTGCCCTTCCACTGTGGTGCCATCCTGGCTACAGCCCTGGACACACTCACGGTTCCTTACCGCCTACGGTCCTCGCCAGTTTCCATGGTTCATCTGGCTGATACGCTAAACTTCTCTGGGAAAAAGGTGTGGAGCTTTGGGAAGGCCAGGCTGGAGCTGAGAAAGAGCTCAGTTACTTGATCTCTCCTTTACCTTTAGGTGGTGACAGCAGCAGCAACCATCCCCTTCCCCTTGGTCCCAGGCCAGTCCCTTCCCGATGCCCTGGTGCAGCTTGGAGGAGCTGCAGCGTGGACCCCACTGTCTGCATGTGGGGATCCTTCTGGAACCTGCTGCTTTGCCCAGTCAGTGGTGCTGAGGGGTGTAGACAGAGCATACCACACCAGGTGAGGATGGGCGTTCTTAGGAGCCCTTGTCAGACTTGTGACTCAGATCCTTTCCCTCCTCACACCTCAGGACATCCTAGTAAAGAGACCCTCAGCATCCCACTTGGGCTGACAGCCTGAGAAGGGAAGAACCCCCAATTCCATGTCCACACTGCCATGGACTTAAAGGCAGTTTTGGCTTTGTTCTGCAGTCAGCTCGTCCCGGGGACACCTCTGCCTTCGCCGCTCCATGCCTGCACCGCCGGGGAGGATGTCCTGGCTCAGTATTTACAGCAGCAGCAGCCTCGGGTCAGGAGGTCAGTGTGACGCTGGCTCTCCCTGCCCACACCTTAGACTTTCCTCAACTTCTCACTCAGCTGCTACCCTCATCCCCACAGCTCTGCCCACCTGCTGCTGGCGCCCTGCCAGGTGACTCCTCCGTACCCCTGCCTTTTCTCCCCAAGTCTCAGCCGGCACGGTTTGGTTCTGGATGGCCCACCATCTGGGGCAGGTAGGTGAGCAAAGGGAACAGACAGGTTTCACTCAGTGCCTGCTAGAAGAAAGCACTGAAATGCACAGGTAAACATCCCTTTATTCGCCCGATGGCTCCTGAAGGTAGTGGCCCTCCTCCAGAGCACCAGCCTGCCAAGGGGCCAGCACAGAGTGTGCACTGAGCTCACGCCCCAGCCAGGCCTGCGGTTCGCCCAGACCTACCCGTCTGCACAGCAGAGCCTGAGTGAGGAAAACCACTGGCAGGCTCCCCTTTCTCTCCCTTCACAGCTGTGGAGAGCATCCCAGTGCTTGGGGCCCTCTGCTCGTCATCCACTTTGAGTCGGACCCTGGGAGATTTGGCTCGAGACCTTGGCAAACTGGACGTGCGGCGCTGGGCCAGCTTCATGGATGCTGGACTGGAGCAGGGGGACCTGGAGGAGGCGCTGCAGGAGCTGGGCAGTCTGGCCCAGTGCTACCAGGGTGCAGACAGCCTCGCAAACTAAGATTTTCCCAGCAGAGGAAAGACCTGGTTTATAATAAACACTGTGGCTGCAGGAGCTCAGTGTTCCGGGCCCAGTTACACCAGCATGGGTGTGTGCTCCTTTACAAACACTGTGACCAGGTCACAGAACAATAAATATGCGCCATGGGACCAAGGGGAAAATGGTAGAAAAGGAGACAAGCCCTACTTTCCCCACTGCTGTACACATGCAGCTTCTGGAGACCTGGAGCCACGTGTAAGCCCATGCTGCCATCCAGCCCCGGTCTGCCCTCATCCTTGTCCTCAGCCCCTGCTCCTCCAGCTCTGCGTCCTGAGCTCAAGGGTGTCCCAGCAAAATACAAGTGCCCTCTTTTAGGGGGCCGGTGAGGGTAGCGAGTGCAAACGACACCCCCGTGCTCCCAGTCACCCATCTAACTCCTCCTCAGACAGAAGGTCTCCGTGGTCAGATAGCTGGTCTGTGTTGCTCGTACTGGTGGCATCATCCTCCTCCTCGGAGCTGGCCTCGCAGGCCGTGTGGAAGAGCTGCATAAGTTCTCGGAAACGGTGGGAAACCTAGCACAACAGGACATTTTCACATGTGTTAAGCGCTGCAGGCTGACACGAATACAGTCACATGTTCCACACAGTGAGGTGGTGAGGGCTGCATCCTCCTCCCAGATAAGGGAATTCAAGGCAAGAGGCTTAATGTTTGGCCCCAAATTATACCACTCCTAAAAACAAAACTAGAATGGAATCTGTTGGACGTCTACCTCAAAATCCAATGCCCTTTTTCTTCTAGAAGCGCTACTAACCCTGATGAGTCAAGCCCCTCTTCAGGGCCTCCGGGGCATGTCTCCTAGTTGGCCACCCTGTCCTCCATGCCAGGCCCTGTCCTAGATCCCCCTGGGGCTTGGAGCTCTAGCAGGGCTCTACCACTTACCTCAGTAGGGGTCTTATTTCCCAACTGCTGGGAGATGCTGCTGAAAGTCTGTGGCTGTGCTCCTTTCTCCTGGCACATAGTGAGAATCACGCGGTCAGCTTCCCTGGAACCCATGTACCATGATTAGTCCCAGATAAGGAACAGGGATGTGTTCCACACAGTTTATACACGTCATCCCTCCCCACCTACCTTGTCCACAGGACCACCTTTTCCCCAGTGGAGCTGACCTTGCTGTTGTTGGCACACACTGTAGCTTCTGCGGCCTTCAGGGGCTGTTCTCCCACGGGGCCCTTGCCCTGGATCTCACCATCTTTAGCCGAGCTTCCCCTAGAGGCTTTGCAAGAAGTCGCTGAAGTGTCAATTCCTGATGAAGATTCACAAACAGGGGACCTCCTGTTCGCTGTCCTCACCCCAGCTCTGCCCAACAGCAAGCAACTCTCTGGAGCATCTGAGATCTCAGGCACCAGGCTTCTCCCTGAGTCTCTGGTCCTTGAGGAAACGGGACTCAGGAAGGGAGCACAAGGCTCTGCAGTGCTGGGCCATCTCTCAGTTTCCGAAGCATCCCATGTCGGCATGGAAGCCTGTGGCTCGCCCAGTGCCTCCTGTTCCTTCCCCTCATTCTGAAGTCTGGGGGATGCCTGAGGGCAGGAGAGGACCTCAGGACCGGCCTGGTTTCTCCTAACGGTGCAGAGCACGCTTTCAGTACTGGAGGAGAGCTTAACACTCTCTGGTGAGCAGGGCGGTGGGCCAGCCAGGGCGGGCTGGGCTGTAGAAGTCACTTCTTGAGGGGACAGTGAAGTGCTCCCCACTGCCAATCCTGCTTGGGAAGAAAATAAAGATCTAAGGGTATGTACAGGGTTGAAACATACCTAGGACTGCGAGTTACCACGGGGTTGTGCAGAGGTTCTGCAGTGTCGAAGCCCTGGCCTCAAATCAAAGACTGAGGTGAGGGCAGGGGCTAAAGTCACTGATATAAGAGACACAAGGCCGGGTGGGCAGGGTGCAGGTCCAGGGGGTCTGGAGGGCAGGAGGAGAGCACACTTATCATGCTGGCACTGTAGCACTGCTAGTTCTGCCAGAGGACATTCAAGAGGATTCCCTATTGCTTGTTAGTAAAGGAAAGGGCAGTCCATCAGCCAAAGACTTATTTATCCCGGCTCAGTGACATTCCTGCTGGAAGCATGTAAGAACAAGGCATAAATAGATGGACGGAGGCTAGGCTGGCAGGCAGCACACTCACCTGGAACTGGTGTCTCTCCCTGTCCAGCACCTCTGCCAGGCCTGTCCTGGGACGCCTCCTGGCCTTCTCGATCCTCAGGGGCTTCCCCCTCCAGCAGATCCTTGCCTTGCCCAGCTTCCTTAGCACCAGGCCCAGGGCTGGCCTCCCGGTGGGGACTGCTGCCCACCAGCTCATGGGGCTCCTTGCTCTTGTAGGATTTATTGTCACAGACCTGCAGAGATGGCCTTCTTGGTAAAGGGTGTCCTGACTGCCTTTTTCTTAGGAGGCTGGCTGAGCAAAGGCAGAAGCCCTGCCATGATGTTTTGCAAGTCAACCAACAATTTTAAAGGGGTTTCCTTCTACACTCCTCTACCAAGGACTGTATTTTTGCTGCCAAACAAACCTACCCTAGAGAACTGGCATTACTTTAAGGGTGTTTATTTGAAACAAGTTTATTTCATGAGAAAGAAATGAGAAAAAAAAATCTGAGAAATAAATATTTAAAGTCGTTTTTTTCCCATTCCAAAAACCTAACCCACAGGGTTATCTTCAAAAAACAAAACCCATTACATACTTTTTAAAGATTCTATTTGTCCTGCGTATGCGAATGCGCACGTGTGTACTGCCGATTACCACCCCTGCTCACCCTGTTGCCACAATGGCTACAGCTTCTTCTCTTGCTCTTCTTCAGCCTGGAATCAGGGCCTCCTTCATGACAGGAACAGACACAGTCCTTGGCACTGTCTGGCCACTCAGCCTCCTAGGAGATACCTGGGCTTGGTTAGCTGCCGAGCGTGTTTGGTACCAATAGAGGAAGCTGAGCTGCAGGCTGGCCCAGGCAGCTGCACTGACCGTCACCCTTTCTCCTTCATGACACTCAGCGCTTCATATGGCTGGGGGAAACTCAATCACAGCCTGTTAGAAATCCCTGAAACAATGCTTCAACGACTCAAAGGACTGACCTATCCCAGTTGCCAAGATGTTTCAAGAAATATTGACATCAAATACAATCTAAGGCAGAGTCTTTGAGAGCTCCAGCACAGGAGTGCTCTCCTGACTCGCTGCCTTTGCTCCCACGTCCCTGCACCTGGAGCTCTGCCCCTCTGCCGACCCTCTTGTACATGTGGAGGCTTCCCCAGGACATCTCTGTCAGTGACCCTAGACGCTGGTACGGTTATTTCCCCGCTGACAATGACGAGGCTGAGACAGAGACTCAGTAAGTCACCCAAGGTCATCCAGCTGCTAAGAAGCAGTTTTCCCCAAGGAAGAGGAAAGGACACACATTCTTAGCAGCAGAGGACAATGAGTTTGAACCCTAACATTGCCACTTAATATGAGACACTGGCAACAACTTCGCCTTGCACTTCCCTCTCCTCTCCTATAAAAGCCAAACACAAGCAATCTCTTTGTGGGCCTGCCATGAGAACTGAGGGAATGATCCAAGTTCAATACCTCCAAGAGGTACAGGCACCTGGTACCTGTTACCAGTACTGTTCAAGTGTAGACGCTTGGTTCTATTATTTCTTCACATGAACGGAAGGGAAGGAGCCAAGACTCAAGGACAAGAGTAACAGTTCTGTGCTAGAGAGCAGAGGGGGACACCTCCTCCTCACAGGGTGGCTCCTCCTCGCTCCCCCAACCCCCGTGGGCTTTGCAGCCTGACCCCTGGTCCCTGCTTCACCTCTGCCTCGGAGCCCAGAGGCCGCGCACCACTTCCACTCAGGAACTCAAGGCCTGGTTCAAGACAAACAGAAAATGCCAAACAACCTGGTACCTTGTCATGATTTTGGACCCCAATCTCTTTACGTCTTTTGCTCTTTGAGACCGTGGGTATCTTGGGGGGCTCCTCTTCCTCTTCCACATCGGGCAGTGCCACTTCTTCAAAGCCATCAAACTGGGGAGGAGTATCACTCAGCACATTCCCTGAACAGGCCTACACGTGGCATTCCTGCTCCCCAGCCCCACTGCAGCCTCGAGGCCTGTACCTCATACTCCTTCTCCTCAGTCCAATTGATCTCTTCAAAGTCACCCATCCGGCTGGCTGCTGGGCGCAGATGGTCAAAGAAGACAGAGAACTCATCCTGCAAGTGATCGTGGCCCTTGAGAAGCTGCCACATCTGTGTCTTGAGCTGGGGAGAGTGATCAGAGGAAAGATGAGGTCTCCAGGGCCTCTCCAGGCTGCCATGCCAAACCAATCCCAGGCCCTTCCATGGTCTGCTCTCTTAGTCAACTGAGGGACTCAAAGAAGACTCTCTGACAGATAAGAAATTTGTCGACTTTCCCTCTCCACTCACGTGCCTACACCGGAGGGGCACTGAGAATAGGTTTGATCCCTGATGAGGACACCCTCTGTACCCTGCCCTCCTGAGCTCCAGCTCAGGCAGGAACCCAAGCAGAGTGAGGAGCCAAGTCCCTCCCAGGCCCCATCATCTCCTCCCCTGAACTACCCAACCTGGGCACTAATGGCCTTTCTGAGCTGTGAAGATCAGTCAGTCTCTGCTTTCAGGGCACAAGCACAACCCGTTCCAGGGGTTGATGCTTCAGGAAAGCCTCAAAAATCCTCTCCTTCTCCATCCCTTCCACCCCATAAGAGAACATGGGGTCAGTCAGGGGTGTGCCTAAGGCATTGGTGCCAACCGAAAGGCAGCAGGATGGGAAGCAGCACCTCTGTGATCTCCTGAGGCAGGCAGTCCGCACAGCTCTGGAGGACCTTGATGATCTTCTGGTGGTGTGAGGGGTTCTCTGCAAAGCAAATCTCCAGCTGCCGAAGAAACTTGCGACTCTTCTCAAAAGCCTGCTGCTCCTCAAACTACCGCAGTGGAAAGAAGGCAAGAGGGTCATGTGCACAGCTAGAGGGGCCTGGAGGGCTCTATGCACAGGAGACAAGGGTGTTGGGCTGGGAAGGAAGCTGACGGGGCTCAAGTTTATAACCATCAGATCATGTTTAGGACTCGGGCATCTATGCCCTCAGGCTGTAGGGACTACCAACCCATAACACCTAGGATGGGAACGACAGATTCCAGAGATGGGAGTATCTCATGGACTATGAAGTCAGACACTCCAAGCTTGTGGGGCACTTCATAGTCAATAAAGAATGTTCACATGTATGCTGCTCCTCATGAGGAGAGAGCACCACCAGGGTGTATGTCACCACCCCAGGACTGACCACATCACTGCCTCAAGACTAGCAAAAGAATCCCCCCCTGCGTTCCTGTTTCTGTCAATCATGACAAGAAACTCAGAACTATTGAGGTCTCCCTCACATGTAGACACTCTCTCAACGTTTCAAGTGTTACCATATACAGCGGCCATCCCAGACAACCACATAAAAAATAAAACTGCCAGGCCCCACCCCTGACCCATTCTATCTGCAGCTCTCTACTCTCCTTTCATCATGTATTTTTCTAGAAAGCATCACCACTCAAAAGCATGATACACGTTTTACTGGTCATATCTACTATATAATCCTTACATACATTTATATATTTTACTGTTTATCACCTGACCTTCCCCAAGAGGATGGAAGCTCCGTGAAGGCAAGGATGTTGTACTTTTGTAATTACTGTATTCCTAGGACAGAGAACGCTACCTGACTCACACTAAGCACACAGTAAGTATCTGTGGGAATGAACACCTGCTCTACAACAGGGAGGAGCACAGGGCACAACATTTACCTACGGTCTTCACTGGCAACCAAAGGTACCACCGCCTTGTACATATAAAGAAAAGGGGAGAGGAGGGGGTGGGAAGATCACCCCTTGAAAACAAGGGGACTCTTATGACCCTGGGCTGGCACAGGGACAGACAGGGACAGCGATGGTCAATACTACTCTGTCCCATCTCCTGCCCCAGCAATGCCCCCAGGGTGCCATGTTCACGCATCCACTTACTAATCCACAGGCCAGAGCCTGCTCAGGCAACAGGAAAGCCGCGAAGTCCTTCAGCAGCTGAGGCCAGTCCTGGAGCAGGACCTGCAGGCTTTTGTAGAGATCCACAGCTGTCTGCCTCTGAGTACTGGACTCAAATTCATAGATGACCTGAAGGAAGTCCTCGTACTTCCCAGGGATGTGTTGCAGGGCTTCCCGTACCTACGCAGGAAGACGGTCTAGCATCAGTACTCCATCTGTGGGCCCCAACAAGAAAACAGCAGTACTAACCAAGAAGGAGTCACCATGCAGAGCTCCAAGAATCATCCTTCAGGGGCTACTCCTCTGGCAGCTCCTACAATCCATTCACGGAAGACACAGAGCAATGAGCAAGGCACAGCTCCGTTTCCAGTGGTGGGCATCTGAAAAGCCTTGATTCTCCAGGGACCAGGGCCCTCCCCCAAAAAACAAGCAAAACCAACCAAGCTTTTCTCTAGTTCACAGCCCTAAACTAACCTCTCCTTCCTGACTTCACCACACTTGAAGCAGACAAGGAGTGCTCTGTACATAGAACTCCACATGGTATCACGAGGGTAAACAATGCGTACATTAGGAATATTAGCAAAATGTCAGCAGATGAGAAAAAGGTATGACTATCACTGCAGATAGCCCACCTGGATGGAGAGGAACAGAGGAACCAGATGGTTCCATTCAAAAGAATAAGGCAATGGCCCAAGACAACTGCCTAGCAAGGACGGGGTCACGTCTCTGAAGACCAAGGTGGTTCCCTGAGGTCCACTCTGGCCAGTGCACCAACATTCTCTCTTCTTAAGCCGAGGGCTTGGGAAAGGCCCTCATTAGCTAACCCACTGATGTCACCCCTCTCACTGACGATGGTGGAGTCCCAGTTTCCCACTTTCTGAACAATGGAGGGGTAATGTTCAGGGATTAACAAGCCGTGTACAGCTAAGCCTGTGTCCTGGAAGTGCTCTCATACAGATCTGATGGTAATTCCAGGAAGCAAAGGCAGAGGCATACAAGCTGCACACCCCAAAAATCATACTTTGTTTTAAAAACTGGTCCCTGGGGCAGCCCTGGTGGCGCAGCGGTTTGGCGCCGCCTGTAGCCCAGGGCATGATTCTGGAGACCCGGGATCGAGTCCCATGTCCGGCTCCCTCCATGGAGCCTGCTTCTCCCTCTGCCTGTCTCTGCCTCTCATTCTCTCTCTGTGTTTCTATGAATAAATAAAAATCTTTTAAAAAAATAAAATAAAAAAATAAAATAAAAACTGGTCCCTGGAAGGAGAAGCAGCAGCATTTGGACTGACGGGCAGCAAGAGGAAGCAGCACCTGCCTACCCTGGTCAGATAAGCCTGAGCAAAGGCCAAATCCTTCTGCTCCCTCAGTGGGTCCCGCTCGAGAATGTCCTCGTCATATAACAGCAGCAGCTTGGATGTGTCCTTGCTGGCACGGGCCCGACTTCCCCGCTTGCCACGCGCTCGCTGACTGCCCCGGCCCTTCCCAGCAGCTCTGCCACTCTCTCCTGGGAAAACATGGGGAAAAGATTGTGGCTCTTGCCCCACAACCCCACTCCTCCCGCCTGCAACACACACCCACCCCACCCAAATACCACTCATTGTCTCAGACTGCCTTACAAGAAAGGCTAGTGGGAACATGGTACAAAGGCACGACTGCGTGTCAGGCCAGCCTGTGCAGAGCTGGCATAGCCACATTCCCTGGGACAGTAAGGGGCTCTCTGCTACCGCGTATGGAGAAAGGGGGTCTTGAGAGTGAGTCTGGTCTTATGCTGGGCTCTCAAGGGACTAGGCTGTGGTGAGAACAGTGAAAAAACGTAGCTCTTAGCCTCCCGAGTGACGGATGGAGGAGCAGCATACACACTTGAACGAACCTAAACAAACCTAGCAGCTGCTAAGAGTTGTATCTGCAACGTCTGAGCATGCTTCTCTGAAAAGGCTCCAGACAAACATGCTCGGGGGAGGTCCAGAGGATGGCCTCTAATAACTCACACGTGGTTTTCGACCAGCCACTCGGCACAACATATGGAAAGGGGGCCAGCTGGGCCCCGGCCCTCACATCAGGCTTGCCACTCACCTGGCGGGGTACTGCTGGCCTCAGCTTCAGGAGCGGTCCTGGGCGAGGCGAAGGGGGCTGGCGGCTTCTCAGTGGGATCCCCAATGGCTTCATCTGCCATTTCATCCTCCTTCTGCAGGCTTTCCATTCCCTCTGCCTCTTCTTCCTCTTCTTCCTCAGGCTCAGAATTCTCTTCCTGAGAGTTCTCCTCCTCAGACTCGCCCTCCTGGCCTGCACGCCTCTCAGAGGCCAACCAGGTCAGCTTCTCCATGGTTTCCTGCAAAGCCCAGGAGTGTCCCCAGGGTAGCACTGGCTCGCCGAGGCCACAGGTGCGGCCACCAGGGCCCAACATGGAGTCGGGACACAGGGAGAGCCGGACTGGCGGCCCAGTAGCAGGTAGGGGTTGGGAGATGCCTTTTGAAAGGTCACCTTCTACCCTGAAGATGGGTTCCTTGGCCCACATAGGATCTATGTGTTCAGGAATTTAAACTGTGCACGGTGATGCAATCTAACCTTAAATGACTGAGTCAGACATAACACCTCAGTAAAAGCTTACCTGCTACCTCTTCTCACCTCAACCTCCCATCAAACTATGTCCCACAAACATACTCAGAAGCTAAACACACGACAGGAGGACTATATGAGGCAAGCGAGCAGGTGGCCAAAAGCGTGAGCAGCTTGCCATAGCGTTTGAGAAGGTTGGCAACGCTCACCTGGAGCTCCGGGACAGACAGCACGGACTCCTCAGAGGCGGATGACAGCTCCTCCTCCTCATCTGCAGTAAGGTCATCAAAGTCCTCCTCCTCCTCCTCCTCCAGGCCAGCTGGGGTCTCCACCACCTGGCTGTCAGTGCTGCCACAAGCCTCAGACTGCCCTAGGGGGCTGCCGCGTGTTACCTCATGGTCAGCACAGGAGGAAGCCATCTCCAGAGACCCTTTGCTCATGTCCCCTGAGTCTCCCTCATCCCGAGGCTCCCGGGCAGCTGAAGAAGCTCCGGCTGGCTCACTCCTCTCTTCCTCCTGCTGGACAGCCGGCTGTCCCCTCCGCTCCCTAGGACCACTCAGCTCCTCACCTGGGAAGCCAGCATCCAAGCCCACAGCACATTCCTCTCTGATGTCCTCACAGCCGTCCTGCCCCGGGGACCCACTGGCATCATCCTCCCCAGGGTCCTTAGGTTCCATCTTGACCATTTCCTCCACGTCCCCCGGGGGCAGCGGTTGCAGAGCCTGCCTCTCGTCCTCTGCCTTCACAAGAGTCCAGCCACAGGCACTGTTCTCTGGTAGCTCTTCCTGGCACACACAGTCTGCTGCCAGTGGCCCTGGGCTGTGCTCCTCTTTGGGGAAGACAGGAGCACAGAGAGGAGAGAATTCCTGGGGCTCTACTTTGGGTTCTAGGCCTTGAAAGGCATTTTTCCCTTCAGCCAGAGGGCCACCAATGTCTGCATTCACTTGGGCCTTATCTTCAGGGGTGGATGGGACAGGAAGACTCACGGAGTTGCTGGAAACAATGAATGGTGGGAGAGAGGAGGCCACAAGGGGCTGGTTCAACGGGCAGGGGAAGGACGTAGGGTTAACCAAGAGGGTGGTGATGGGAATGGTCTGAGAACTTGGGGCCACAGCTGCATTGACAGGCTGGATCACATTGCAGCCACTACCAAAGCTCACGACCTTGACTGTGGTGGCGGGTACGGTGAAGATGACGGGAACTGGGTGGATGAGGGAGGTTGGCTCCAGACAGAGGGAGGCCTTGGCCCCCTTCCTCTTTGAGGCTCTCGGCTTTACACATGGCCTTCGAAACTTAGAGGGTGCAAGTGAGGGCAGCATTACCTTGGGTACAGGGGCAGGGGTGAGCAGAGGCTGGGGCTCAGACAGAGGGAAGCTGGTCCTGGCCTCGTGGGGCGTGGGAGGCAGTGTTGCTGGAGACTCAAAACCATCCCCCGCAGGGGCCCCCAGGGGAGGGACACCTGACACCGTCTGTAGGACGGTGGCTGGCTGGATCATGGGAGGAATCCGGACCACCATCTTGCTAGGGGGCGCTTCTGACTGGGCTGACCTTGTGGGAGCTTTCCCAGAGGTGGAGGAGCTGGGCTGGAGAGAGGGGCTGGGTCTAATTAGCAGGGGCTTCAGGACTGCCGGCCGCTTCTGTCTCCAGGCCTTCCTGGAAAAACAGTTGGCAACTGGCTTCAGTTTCAGGACCACACCCTTGGGCAACAGCAGTGGATACGGAGTGTCACTCCCCAATTCCGAGCGGCCTTTCCCCAGGCCGGGCTCTGAGCTGACCTCAGCGGCTCCAGTCACATTTCCTACCCCTCTGGCGCCGCCAGCTATGCGCCAAAGTTCCTCCTGGATGGATGGCAGACTGGCCTATTGAGAATAAGAACACACTGATCCAGCACATGTCAGCATCAGGCAGAAAGAACAAGGCTTCCTGGGTTTTTAGGGACCTTTCTAGGACAGTCTCAAAAAAATCTTTTCAAGAAGGATTTTTCTGCAGGATATCAAATTTCACCAAGACTACATTCCAATTATACACTCTAGAAACTCTTGTCTGAGTTTCCTTTAGGAAACTATCATTTTACTATTTTTTTTTCAAAGGCTACAGAGTCACCTGGGGGGAGGGCAAAGCAGGAGAGGAGGGGTGAATGAGGCAGCTCTCCTGAGACCCTGTCCTACAACTACACAGTGTAGGCAGAAAACAGTCCTTGACATCTCTGGCAGGGTTTCAGGGACATTCTGTGGCCTACACATGTCAAGGAGGAAGCCTGTACCTGTAACCAGAATGGAAGCCGGTGTTCTTCCCTCTCCACAGGTGGTTTCCACTGATGTGGTTGGATCTCTTCACAGCATTTCATCAGGACAGGCAGCTGCTTAGTCTTCTTATAAAACTGAGCAGGAAGAAATGACACACAATTCACATTCCCTCCAGAAACACTGCCCTCTGTCAGGCTGGGGAGTGAAGTGTGCAGAGATTTGAGACACCTCCCATACATACAAATACATGCTTAATGCTCTACATTTCAAATTACACTTAAAAAAAAACAACAACAAATTACACTAATCTCAATTATTTATTTATTTGAGAGAGAGAGAGAGAGAGAGAGATTGATTGAGCACGAGCAGGGGGTAGGGCAGAGGGAGGAGCAGACTCCTCACTAAGCAGGGAGCCCAATGCAGGACTTGATCCCAGGACCCTGGGACCATGACCTGAGCAGAAGGCAGATGCTTTACTGAGGGAGCCACCCAGGAGTCCCAATCTCTAAATTCTTTTCTTTTTTTTAAAACAAACCTCCACAGGCTTATTTTTTTAAGATTTTATTTATTATTTATGAGAGACACACAGAGAGAAACAGAGACATAGGCAGAGGGAGAAGCAGGCTCCCCGTGAGGAGCCCAATGTGGAATTTGATCCCAGGATTCTGGGATCACAACCTAAGCCAAAGGCAGACATGCTCAACCACTGAGCCACCCAGGTGCCCCCAACCTCTAAATTCTTTTTTTTTTTTAAGATGTTATTTATTTATTCATGAGAGACACAGAGAGAGGCAGAGACACAGGCAGAGGGAGAAGCAGGCTCCATACAGGGAGCCTGATGTGGGACTCGATCCCGGGACTCCAGGATCACGCCTTCAGCCGAAGGCAGGCACTAAACCACTGAGCCATTCAGGGATCCCCCAACCTCTAAATTCTAATGAAGATTTTGCAACACTCCATATCATCAGACATGGTTTCACAAAGAAAAGGATGCAGATGGTCAGAGTGATTCTACGTTAACAAATCTGCTCCCACTCAAAAGCAGCCACCATCACACCTTAACCCTCATCCAGGACTCACAGAAGTTTCCTAGTAAGGAAGTAATGGTGCAAAGGACATCACAAGGGAAGGGAAAAAGAGAAGGGATATTGACACAATTCTGTTTTAAGAGTAAATTAACAGGAGTCTAAACAGTGACAAGCATTCATCCAATCCACATTTGCTAAGCACCCGTTAGAGGCCAAGTGGACAAATAAAAGAAGACATTCCTGCTCCGAAGGAGCGTACAGACAAGGAGAAAGAGTCAAAAATGATATTCTCTGTACAAAAGTACAAAGATGCACATAAAAAATGATAAAACTTGAACAATAAAAACATCTCTGGAGCAGCTGCAACTACAGATGACTCTTGACGGCACAGAGTTTGCAGAGGCAGGCAGGGGCAGAGCACACTTCTTGTTCTGAAACATGAGCATGTTTAAGGAACCACAAAAAGACTGGTCTGGCTACAACAAAGGAATGTGAAGAGACTTCTGGAGACAAGTCGGAGGCAAGGCAGGCTGGGCCTTCGCTGCCACATCGGCAGTGTGAACTCTACCCTGAAGTGTTATCTAGAAGTGGCCACAGCAGCAACGTGAAGGAGCCAGAATTAGAGATACCAGTTAGAAAAGCAGGGCATGAATCCAGGCATAACAAAGGACAGCAGTAAGGCCACCGCATTAGGTGGGTAAAATGGAGGGTGTGGGACAGACCCACCTATGGCAGTGCTCAAGTTGGGAGACTGATGGTACCAGCCAGACAATGATGTCCCCCAGACACAGATGACAGCAGGGTAAGCTGGGGGGGGGGGGGGGCGGGGCGGGGGGTGTGCTGGTAAGGGCGGCTGGTGGCAACAACTGGAAGGTGCAGAGGAAAAAGGTTCAGACTGAGGAGTCAATGAGTCAACCCAGGTAAGAATGGCTGCCAACAACTGGCTATACAAAGTTGGCACTCGAGAGAAAAAGCCAGACCAAAGACACAGACGTGAAGACCACAAGGAGACAGAAAGAACATGCCAACACGCATGAATGTGGAAGAACCCACATGCTCCAAGTCTCCTGTGGAACACAGACATGTGGGTAGAGCAGGGCAAGGGGAACTTGTGCAGAGCCACTGAGCTGGGAGCAGGAGATGGGAGTCAAGGACAGCACCAGTCGGACAATTACACAGGACAACAGCAGGAAAGCAGCCACTGGATTGCCAAGGGGGAAATAATTTGAGATCTTGGCAGGGATATATCCACGCTTTCAGAGGTTAAAGAGTTAACTTACCGTTAAAAACAGATTAAACACATCCATTTGCCTTTGTTCCCTCTTAAAACCCCATGAAAACAGAAGGGAATTGTTTTAAGGTAAAAGCCTATAAGGAAAGAGAATGAAAGAAAAGGTAAAAGCAGTAAAATTTTCAAAACTAAAAATCAGATGGATGAGTGGAAACACACAGGGGAATGAAGAAAGCCAAACATCACATGGGGAGAAGTTAAGGTCCAATATGACAATGTCGGAGACTGGCCACAGGGTGAGAGAGCAGAAACCTCTGGAGGTGGCGGTACAGCTAGAAGTGGAAATAGGAAAAGATGAGGACAGGCAGAAGCCGTTGAAGAGACACTGAGGCCCCAATCCCACCCTGTCGGCTGTAGTGGGGGAGGAGCTGGCCTGAGGCTGCTAGGCGCCCTGTGTGATGGGTCACAGGAGACAAGCCCAGCCTTCGTCCTCTCCTGCTTCCCACCTCCCCCTGCCATTTGCCATCAAAGAATAATCAACAGATATAAAAGAGTTATTGGAAATTAAATATATAACTGGAGGGGTCCCTGGGGGGCTCAGTCAGTGAAGCATCTGCCTTCAGCTCAGGTCATGATCTCAGGGTCCTGGGAGCGAGTGCCAAATCAGGCTCCCTGCTCAGCGGGGAGTCTGCCTCTCCCTCTCCCTCTGCTGTGCTCTATGCCAAATAAATAAATAAATAAATAAACAAACAAACAAATAAATAAAATCTTTTTAAGAAATCTATGTATCTATCTCTGGAGAAATGAAGAGCTAACTCAGCAGAAAGGCAGAAGAAGCTAAAGTAACAGACGAGAAGGTAGAACAAAAGATCAAGTGTTGGGAAAAGAGAAAACCACTGGGAGGCCTGGAGGTACCAACCGGGAGAGCACATGGGGATGGGGGGTGCCGCCCAGGGCAGAGCATGGGGGGGGGGGGGGTACCACCCAGGAGAGATGCCCAGTCTCTGCAAAATCAATGACACTGGATCCATGCTGAGGCATCCACAGTACCATAAAATCCCAAAACATTGGAGAAAAGGAAAAATCCTATATGCTGCTGGCACCACGGGAAGCACAGGCGTCACACAGGTTCAAGAGGCAAAACGGCATCAAATCTCTAAAGCGATAGCACAGCAACTAGAAGAAACTGGAACAAGGACCTTAAAGCTTTCTAACACAAATGATTTCCAACCTTCCAATCCAGGCCCACTGAAAGTGGAAAGTAGAAAAAGGGTATATTTTTAAACTTTTTAAAAAACTTTTTGTTTTAAATAAAGAGATTCCTAAGTTGCAAAAATAAGACAGAAAGGTCTTCCCCTCCTGTGGTATGACCTTGTGTCACATAGTGACAATGGTCACACACACACGCAAACCAGCTTGCAGCATCTGGTGGAATCCACGCACTGTGAATACTGTGACTATGGCCAGTTTCAATCTAAATGCCTGTTTCTCAAGCCCTCTTCCCCAGAATGCCATGAGGATGTGCTCCACTAAAATAAGGAGGTAAAAGCAAGAAAGGTGCGGGTTCGGGGACTAGGAGGATTCACACACTTAAGAGGCAAAACTAGCCCCCCAAGATTACAGGGGAGAAAATCCCCAAGAAGCTGTTCATGCAGAGAGCCACGAAAGTAACATGTTTAGAGGGAGTAGCATCAGAAGAGTTGGGGCAAGGCATCCTCAGGATGTTGAAAATGACAGAATATCGACATTGTTTGCCGACCAGAGACTCCATATACAGTGGTAAACTCCAGTGTTGAACAGGGACACACCTCATAAGACCAAGCCCCACCCACTCCCCCAAATGCAATTATCAACTCCACAAAACAGCATATGGGCAGAAAAGGCAAAGAAATCATGCTAGGCCACAGAGCTCAGCTGTGAGGGCAAAGACAAGCATGTCTCATGCTTACAGTGCAAGCCCTGAACCCGATCTCTCCAAAACCATGACCCCGTGGGAGAATCAGGGGACAGAAGACACCTGTGATGATGGGAAAGCCTCTGTCACCGTGTTACGCTTTAATAAATGAGGCTTCAGGGATGCCTGGGTGGCTCAGCAGTTTGGGAAGTTGCCTTTGGCTCAAGTCGTGATCCCGGGATCTGGTATTGAGTCTTGCATCGGGCTCCTGGAAGGAGCCTGCTTCTCCCTCTGCCTGTGTCTCTACCTCTCTCTCTCTCTCTGTGTGTGTGTGTCTTTCATGAATAAATAAATAAATCTTTATAATAATAATAATAATAATAAATGAGGCTTCGATCCAAAGCACCAAGGGGGGCAATAACAAGCAAGCCTCCCAGATACAGCCAGAGACACGCCACTCCTCAAAAACCTAGTGGGAAACAGGGAGGAAAGTATTTTCATAATAAACCTCATGGAACTATCTGACTCTTTAAATCACTTATACTCTTTACCTTTTATAAAGTATATACGTTTTCTTTTGACAGACATACCTACAGGAAACAAGTAAAGAAAAAGATACAGGGATGCCTGGGTGGCTCAGTGGTTGAGTATCTGCCTTTGACTCAGGGCGTGATTCCAGAGTTCCAGGATCAAGTCCCACATCGGGCTCCCTGCATGGAGCCTGCTTCTCCTCCCTCTGCCCATGTCTCTGCCTCTCTCTGTGTGTCTCTCATGAATAAACTCTTTAACAAAAAAAAAAAAAGAGGACACAGCGGATTATTGTCTACTCTTCCAGAAGGCCAGCAGAAAAGAGAATGGTTGGCTCGAGAGAAAAATCCCACTTTCAGAGCTGGGATAATTCTGGGGCACCTCAGAGGCTTGGTGGGCTAAGTGTCTGCCTTCGGCTCAGGTCCGAAGCCTTCTGCTTCTCCCTGCCCCTGCCCCCCATACATGTTCTCTAGCTCTCTCTCAAATACATAAATAAATAATTTTTAAAAAAGAGTTGGAATAATTTTATTTTTAGGAGAAATACCTGTAGCAAACCAAGAAGATGATACTATAGAAGAAAACAAGGGTCAATGTCCCTGAAAAGGCCATAGGGGGCCTAATCTAGCTAGGGTGGGAGGAGCTGGGGCCCCTCTGCTGAGGTTGAGACCAATGAGGCCAAACATGCAGGAAGCACTTACTTTGATGATGTTGTCAGGTGCTCTGTTCATGTTGAGGTTCTTGATCCTCACTGTCAGTTGGTGGGCAGTCTTGCAGGTTAGGAGATACTTGCTGATCAGCAGCTTAGGAAACTTGGTCCCTTCAAAGTGCTTTAGCCCTAAAGCCAACAAACTGAGAAAGGGGTCATGACCTAAATCTCACCTCATTCTATTCTACAGAACATTCTCTCTCCAGAGGAGCACACTGTGTACAGCCGACCCACTCTTGCACACCTCATTCCTGTGCAAGCCAATGGCTGCCCAGCAGAGAACTGCAGGTGTGAATTGAGAGCTAGAAAGCACAACAACAAAGACACCACCAGGCGTTCCCAGTCAAGTGGGAAGAGGAAAACTGGGTTTGAATCACTAATAAATGTCAGATCATGATGTGCTTCACACTAACGATACAAACAAAATTCAAATATGGAATGAAAAAAAAAAAACAAATATGGAATGAGTAATGTGCACTGTGTGAGACGTATTAAATCAGGACCGACACCACCTCCCAACATAACCGTGCAAGTGTGGTTACCTACACAACTGCTGATGGCTGGGGACCAACACACATCAAGAACCATAAAAATGTTCACAACCTTTACCAAATAATCTCATGCTTGAGAATTTACCCAAAGGGATAAACTCAAAAGACTTTCCTGCTCTATGCACAAAGATGCTTGTTGAAGCCCTACTAACAGCAGCAAAAAAAGAGAGGAGAAAAAATGAAACAGGCAGATAAAAGGGCTGCCCTATGGCTGCGGAACATCACCTGAGAAGACAAAACACAGAAACAACAGGAAGGATCAAGTTCCAGCAGAAGCACAGAAAAACAATTTCAAGGTGTTAAGTCAAAAAAATAAAAAATATATATTTATATGAATAATCATTGGAGGCACTGGATTGGCTCAGTGGGTAGAGCGTATGACTCTTGATTGCAGGGTCATGAGTTCGAGCCACATGTTGGACACAGAGAAGAGGAAAGGAAAGAGGAAAGGAAAGAGGAAAGGAAAAAGGAAAAAAGAATAAGGAAAAAGGAAAAAGGAAAGGAAGGAAAAGAAAGGAAGGAAAAAAAAGAAAAGAAAGAAAAGAAAAGAAAAGAAAAGAAAAGAAAAGAAAAGAAAAGAAAAAAGAAAGAAAGAAAGAAAGAAAGAAAGAAAGAAAGAAAGAAAGAAAGAAAGAAAGAAAGAAGAAAGAAAGAAAGAAAGAAAGAAAGAAAAGGAAGGGAAAGGGGATCCCTGGGTGGCTCAGCTGTTTAGCACCTGCCTTTGACCCAGGGCATGGTCCTGGAGTCCTGGGATTAAGTCCTACATCAGGCTCCCTTCATGGAGCCTGCTTCTCCCTCTGCCTGTGTCTCTGCCTCTCTCTCTCTCTCTCTCTCTGTCTCTCATGAATAAATAAATAAAATCTTTTTAAAATAAAAGGAAAGAAAGAAGTCATTATCATGGGTAGTTAAGATTATGGATAAAAATTATTTTCCTGGGGATCCCTGGGTGGCTCAGCGATTTAGCGCCTGCCATTGGCTCAGGTCCTGATCCTGGAGTCCCGGGGTCGAGTCCCACATTGGGCTCCCTGTAGGGAGCCTGCTTCTCCCTCTGCCTGTGTCTCTGCCTCTCTGTCTGTGTCTCTCATGAATAAATAAATAATATCTAAAAAAAATTTTTTTTTAATTATTTTCCTTTCAAAAATTTTGTCTAACAGTACCATGAGATTGGTTTCTACAACAAATAAAAGCAAAAAAACAAGTTAAATTGTTTCAAAAAAAATACACATTGTTCTGCCAAAACAGCACCATCTGGCACTACTGGAGCAGACACACACCACGGAGCTGTGCCCAACAATATGTCTTTGCTTCTGGTCATGTGTGCATGTCAGGTGACACGTGCCTTGTTTCCCCTAAGTGCCTCAAGAAAAAGAACTAAGTCTTTTCCTCAGGGCACTTGGTGCCTTTGCTCCCCCACAGTAAACCCTTACTTGTCCTCAGCCTTGGTGAAGAAAATCTTATCCTGGGGGTTCTTCGCCTTCAGAGAACACACTGGAAGTAGCTCTGGATACATGAAAACCTTGCTGGTGGCCAGGATCCAAGCCACTTGCTTTGGCAAACAGGGAAATTCATCTGCTGTGAAGAAAACTTTCTGTGGTAAATGAAATTCTAGAACAAAAGAGAGCTTCTGAGTGCACATCTGCATTTAGGTAGAGCTGCCCCTACCTGGAGGTGTCCCCCAGCCCCTTCTCCGAGAAGATCCTAGTATCTTCCTCAGCCCAGCACATGGGTATGTACAAGGAGGTCCATTCGGCGCTGCTGAACACACCGGCCCTGGCACTCCCTCTGGCCTCGGTGGAGTGCCCAGCACCTCAGCGGTGCGCACTCCTGCCTCCTGCCAACAATTCCGTCCCTCAGACTGTTAACTCTCACCCCCCTTCAGTCCTTCAAAGGGAACCTTCAACAATGCTTGTTTTCTTCTAGGATAAGATGTCAACTTCCTTCATCTCCCTCACAAATCTGGGATCCCCTATTTTATTTATTTGATTCTAACTTAACTTTCATGAAGTCCTCCCCAGATTCCTCCTGGAGTTGGGAACAAAAACCGTAAAAGGAACAAGACAACTCAGTCTCGCTCATTTCTGCCTTGCTGCCTACGCCTCTCAATTCCAGGCACGTCTGCCTTTCCAGACATGGAAAGCTCGACTATATCAACAGTTCTTCCATAAATGGTATTTTTATATCTCCAGAAAAAAAACACAGGACACTGTGTCATTTATTACCATGGCATGATGTTAAGTTTTCATTACCATCACGAACTAAGAAAGTTGTTTGAGATCAGTTTCTATGACATAAGGCACTTAAACTCAACTATATTCAATTTAATGGTTAGAATCAGGGATTTAAAAAAGAAATCCAAAGACAAACGCACATCCAGTGCAAACCACAACTCCTCTGCTAAACCAGGAAACTAATCAGAAGCAATTATTCAGTTTAAGGGAACAGCAAATGTTTTCTCAAAAAGTACTAAAAAAATGCAAGGTAGGAACCAAACCTGCACAAGTCTTTAAAACACTGAACATGGCAAATGTACAACATCTCTAATTTGTGCCTAGTTCCCAAATCAACATTTCATTCAAAGTGGAGACCCAACTGCAACCATTAAGGGAAATAAAAGTATCTTAATGAGGCAGAGTAAAACCCTAAGCATGGGCCAACTTAAAACCACTTGACTTTTACCTTCAGCAGACCCCTTGGACCTCTCTCCTGGCACTTCCCACCCTCACATCTAGCTCTCTGCCCCCGCAGCGCCCTGTCTGGCGGCCAAGCCCTGATGGACGCTGAAACACTACCACGTCCTCAGAAGGAAGGCATGGGGTAAGACCCCCACCTCTCCATGCAAGGAAAAAGCAGAAGCAGGCGTGTGTCCCCTACCTGTCTTCTTGACGGTTTTACGAGGACTCCAGTCAATGACGCTGATGTGCGTGTTGAAGTCTTCGATGAGCTGCATCGCCCCCAGCAGGTTGCAAGGCTGGAACAAGGTCTGAAAGCCGGGGCTGGACTGATGGTGGAGCGCCACAGAGCTCTGAGCGAAGGTACCCAGCTCCTTCTGGGGAGACAGAGCACAAAGGGGACCTCAGCCCCAGACACTAAATACCAGCAGCCCCCACTTGCCTCTGAGGGAGAATCTGTCCTTCCTGCTAGAGGACAGAAACAGGTAACAATCATCAGAAAGTCCTTCATGGGCAGCCCGGGTGGCTTAGTGGTTTAGCGCCTGCCTTCGGTCCAGGGTATGGTCCTGGAGACCCGGGATCAAGTCCCATGTCAGGCTCCCTGCATGGAGCCTGCTTCTCCCTCTGCCTGTGTCTCTGCCTCTCTCTCTGTGTCTCTCATGAATAAACAAATGAAAGGTCTTTGAGGAAAAAAAAAAGTCCCTCGTAATTAACATTATTCCATTAAGACTACTGTCTTGTTAACTACTCAGATATTCAAGGATTGTGTTTATGATACACTCATCTGCTCTTGCTTTATTCCTCAGCTTTTCAGATGGATGGTCTAGCTCCCCAGCTAGAATTAAGGTTCTGGAAAGTGAGAATTAAAATTTCTTGTCTTTTGGTTTCTTTGAATAACACTAGAAAATTTCAAAATTGAAAGCCCTTCCTCCAAAATACTTAAAAACTTCATAACCAAAATTAATTTTATACGTAAAATACTAACAGCCTACTGAATGGATAATGAATTCAATAAAAAGAACAGAAGTATCAAAAACCTAAGAAATCAGGGTAGACGTAGAGGAGGAAGAGGAGGGGTGCCTAGGGGGATCAGTTGGTGAAGCATCTGCCTTTGGCTCACGTCATAAATTCAGGGTCCTGGGATGGAGCCCTGTATCGGCTCCCTGCTCAGTGGGGAGTCTGCTTCTCTCTCTCTTGCTCTGCCTCTCCTCCCTGCTTGTGTGCTCTAATAAATAAAATCTTAAAAAAAAAAAAAAAAAGATGAGGAAGAGGACCAATAAGAAACTGGATACACTTTTTGGTCTTGTACGGGGTCAGAGGCTGTTCTCTCAGCAAATGTAGGAAGCCATAGGAATAGCTGCCAGAATACACAGTAGAGAAATGTGGATGGTGCTGGGTGACCATCTAGGTAAAGTGACCCCCCCCCCCAAGCTAATAGATACCGAAGTTTATAGAGTGAATGATACTTGGAAGCTTACAAGAAATATCCTGGTGGTACTGGCCTCTGAATTGAGGTTAGGGTTGGAGGAGGCAAGAAGGTGAATTTGCGTCAACAGCTGAACATGCTGGGGAGGGAAAGAAAATAACACGGTGACAGGTTACGACGTTGTCATTTCCCAGAAGACCTTACCAAGATGTCTGCAACGTTACCACACACTTTGCTTTCCAGAGAGACTATGAGATTGGCACTATATCTGGGTGTGAATTTCTCAGATCTGTTCCCCTTAAGCAAAATGACAGAATTAGAGGAAGTTCAACATCAAACCAGAGGGACTGAATTTAGAACTCCAGCAAGTGAGGCCGTTACGTTCAGAACACATCACAGAGGACTTTGCAATCTGTAACTTTGGAATATGAGGGTCATACATGCATTTGCATTCCTGCCTGAACCATAAGGATACCAACGTGATGCCCTTTCAAGGTCCTAAGTGATGTGAAGATCTCATGGTCCTATGACTTCAGTGGGCATCAAGATGCCTGTTTCTGATGTTTAGAGAACTGCTAGCTTCTGGTGTCCATGTCAGGCTCAGGCCCAACCAGCCCCGATGTTGCCAGGAGGAGACTCACCTGTTGCATCTGCTGCTGGAGGCGTCCCCTCTGTGCTGGGTCTAGAGTCAGCGTCTGATGGCCTTTCTCACTCTGGGGCTTCACCTTCTCGACCTCCTGCTGTTGTCTGCCCGAAGACTTCTTCATCTTCAGTTGCTCGAGCTGTTCCTTCACTGTGCGGTGTTGCTCATTCAGCAAGTTGGCCAGCGGTTCCTCAAACCTATCCCAGGAGGGAAAGGAGTGTATGTGAGCATTTCCCTAGGCTTACAACACACTCAGCTCCTCCTAACAGTGGGCTGAGAGTCTGAATATTTCCACCTTCTATGAACCCCCCACATCCCATTTTTGTCAAATTAAACAAAACTCTAGGGGCAGAGAAATGTCTGGATAACAACAAAGCAGTCAAAGAGCCAACAAGGAGAACTCACCATCCTGGAGTCCTACTGACACCCACATTAACCTGGGACATGTTCCCAACAGTCACACAGAATCTTCTCTATGTCCAGCATTTGTCCCCTAATGGACCCATGACCCCAACCTCAAGTCCAGCTTTTGCCCTCCTGCCACTCCAATCCACTTAGGCTGCCCTGCCTTCCTGTCCTAAAAACTCAAAGACCTGGTGTGAAGCAGGAATAGGATACACTAGACCACAGGATAGCTGGGAAGGACAGTGAGAAACTGGTTCAAGTGTTACCCCATTCCCACTATGAATACATAATCTTGTAACCCTCGCATGCCTCCTCTCACTTCTCTAACCCACCTGCCCACCCTTGTGTCCAGAGAGAGCCCAGCCAGGGCTGAAGTAAGCATCTACATACCCAGCTCGCAGGCTAGTTCTGGGATAGAGTGGGACACTCAGGGGCTCAGCATGAGCTGATGGCTTATGCAATCAGGATGGGGCCACCTCAAGTAGGTACGACCAGCAGGATAACCTATTTCATGAAATCCTCTATACTGTAACAATAGTTAAATGATAACCTTTCTACAGCCTCCAGAGATAAAGATTCTATGTCCTTTTACAGTATTTACTGCGAGTGTGGGCAACCACATGATAAAAACCTAAAGACACGGACAGTCCTCTGAATAAGATTTACTGAGAACGGAAAACTCTTCATTATCTGTGTTCCTAGTAGAGCAACACAGGAACAGAAACACAGACAAAGCAGAAGTAGCTTGCCCCTGGTTTTATGAAGTTTTATTTACTTGGTTGATAAGAGGGACATAGATGGCTCACTTTCCCCCATGATATCTTATTTAGTAAGAAACTAAACCAGGTTTGCATTTCCAGCTACATGGGAAGCAGCAGCAGCCCAAGCAGATCAAGTGGGCAAGCGCCAGAGGCAGCTGATGCTAAACCAGGACTTTACGTAGTACTATAAATCCTAAATTCAAAAACTTCATTGACAGAGTTGATTAGTGGAACCAAAGTATGTTTATAGATCAAAGTAGGTGGGTCAAATAAAGATTCAGAAATCTTGAAAGTGTTTCCCCCCAAAAAAGTAAATACATGAGGTGACAGAGTATTAACTAACTCAATGGCGGGACCCTTTCACAATGTATACTTGCATCAAGTCACCAGAGAGCACACATTGATACCTCACAACTTTGTCAATTATATCTCAAAAAAGCTTAAACAAAATAGAAAAAAGGTGAGGTTGAATCCTGAAATTCTATCGTTGTTACATTATGGTATTTATTATAATGAAATATGAACGATATTCCCAGCTTTTACGCAATGTTTGGAATACCTCATCTTTTCTACTTAATTGCATGTTCCTGGAAGGCCAGACTTTCAGGTGGCTCCCAAGCTCTCCAGTTCAGTCAGGCTGTGAAAATACAGGACTAATGGAGGCTGTGGGTCTCTCAGCTTTGCTCTGCTCCACCCACAGCACCAAGCACACCCTAACTACTAGCTAGCCCATCACCTGACCATGTGTGCTGCTATGCAGAATAGATAACAGTTCATTAAATTATACACACTTACCACACAAATAAGGAAAGAATTAAAGACCCCTCTTTCTGGGTGGAGCAACAAGTGCCAACTTTGTGAGAAGAGGGCGGTATTTCTATTTCAGACTACAGGGCATTACTGCAGATGTTTCATGGTCTGCTCAATTATTGCTAAGGGGGCCAATAAACTTTTGTTAACATTGACTAGATGGTTAATGGCCAACAAAGAGAACAAAAGGGACATACAGGTTATTATGATAGGGGCTGTTTCTGTGGCTGGCCACAGAGTCCTCATGCCTCTCCAGCACCACTCACCTGGAGAAGCTGCTATGGATGCCAGCTACTGTTTTCTCTCCCTTCCCAAACAGACGCAGCCTGGTCTGTCGCTGCACTGCCCCACAACGAGGAGACTTATTCACAGGAGACCTATCAGCCCCACAGGGCTACGTATCCCTCCATCAGTAACAGCAAGTAGTCAGTGATGGGCCACTGTGAACAGAAGTGTCTGGACACACACTTTTATCCCATTCTGCACCTCAACGTCTTTTAACAATTTTTTTTTTATTTTTTTAGTTATTTATGATAGTCAGAGAGAGAGAGAGAGAGAGAGAGAGAGAGAGAGGGGCAGAGACATAGGCAGAGGGAGAAGCAGGCTCCATGCACCGGGAGCCCGACGTGGGATTCGATCCTGGGTCTCCAGGATCGCGCCCTGGGCCAAAGGCAGGCGCTAAACTGCTGCATCACCCAGGGATCCCCTCAACGTCTTTGTCTAGCCTACCGTAGGGCTTGAGGGGTGTTGAAGCTAGGCCGGGGCTCAGCCACACGCTCCTCCTCCTCTGGGCCGTCATCTTCCACGTTGGAGAGTCCCATCTCATCTTGGAACTGAGGGCACAAGGGAAGGAAGGTGTTCCTGGGGAAGGAGCGTGTGGAAGTGACCCCACAGGGAGAAGGGAAAGCAAAGACTTCAGTCTACAGGCCGCTAGTACTGCTGGCGCACAGAAAGAGCTCCCTGACGACCTTTCTCACTTCGGGGTGCCTGCAGTCCTGCATATGGCTGACGATTATCCCAGGAACAAAGTCTCTCAATCAGCCACTTGCAATGGTAAAGACAGAGCACAGATAAGGATCAGAAATATTTTTCAAGAGACAAGTTTATGAGAAAGATAACTATATGTGCCCAGAATAATCCAAAAACTAATTTGCAATCTTTATGGATACATGGAATGATGGTTGGGGAGGCAATCCAAAGTTTGAAAGGAAAATTTTACTAAGAATAACCTACAAATGGACAAAGTATATTAATGAGCAAAATTCTCCTCCCACGACATTCACTCCCGAGGGGACTGAAAGGTAAAGTGGCATGGCCAAACCAGCCTTGTGGAGGGAAGGGCATGGGACCCAAGGACAGAGCATGCTGGAGAATCCACCACCACCATCCCAAGCTCCCACTCCAGCAACCTTACTCACAGTTTCAAACAGCTCTTCCATCAGTTCATTCACCTCCTTCTCTGAAAAGAAGTGAAACAGTGTTGTTGGCACAGGTTAGTCTCATGTTCCAATAGGAGGGAATTCCAAAGAGACACTGTGTCTTGCTTTCAGCAAGACATTTGACAAAACTCCCATATCTGTCATTTGTTTGTTCAAACACATTTACTGACTCCCAGCTGTGCTTCAAGCCCTGTTCTAGATGCTAGGGAGCACATGACAGAAATAAGTCTCACAGAGCCTCTGGGTGGCTCAGTCAAGCATCAGACTCTTAATTTCAGCTCAGGTCATGATCTCAGGGTTGTGAGACCGAGCCCCCGCATTATACTCCACAATGGCATGGAGTCTACTTGAGATTCTCTTTCCCTCTCCCTTTGGCCCTCTGCCTTCTTCCCTTCAGCAGAATCCCCACCATCCCCATCTCTACGGGGGGGGGGGGGGGGGGAAACAGTCTCACTCTCAAGAAGCTAAAGTTCCAATGGGAAGACATGTGGAAATGTGAGCAATTTCACAATAAGGGAAATTCACAGTTTGCTGACCTAGTCTACTGAACGGAACCACGAGAAAAGTCTCCAGGACCCTGTCTTTGGACTCGAACCGTAAAGCAATTCCATCAATGACCCAGAAGACTAAAAAAACACACTTACCAAGTCTGTAAATCATATAAAGTTGAAAGGGATTGCTAGACCAACTGATGACATTCAAAATTCCATGTTTTCTTAAAATTAATTGGGTGAAACTTAATGGGACAAATTTAAAGTCTTACCCTTAGGATTCTTAAAAATCCATTTCTTAAGTGCACAAAAATGTAAAATGGCTCCAAAAAATCTGAACAAGATCTGAATATTCCGGGCAGCCCAGGTGGCTCAGCAGTTTGGCACTGCCTTCAGCCCAGGGCGTGATCCTGGAGAACCAGGATCGAGTCCCACATCAGACTCTCTGCATGGAGCCTACTTCTCCCTCTGCCTCTGTCGCTGCTTCTCTGTATGTCTCTCATGAATAAATAAAATCTTAAAAAAAAAAAAAAAGATCTGAATATTCCAGCTGACCTCAAGTTCAGTATGACACAGCTACTCCAAAACAGCCAGGTATCCAGGAAGGCTAGCCTCTCATGGAATTAGTGCAGAGTTACAGACCACATCTAGAGGACCTAGACATATCTGTGATCTTTCCTGCCAAAACCCTTCTTATGAGGGCATTATAAAGCTAAAATCAAGGGATGCCTGGGTGGCTCAGTGGTTGAGCATCTGCCTTTGGTTCAGGGTATGATTCCGGGTCTGGGGATCGAGTCCCACATTGGGCTCCTATGGGGAGCCTACTTCTCCATCTGCCTATGTCTCTGCCTCTCTCTCTCTGTCTCTCACGAATAAATAAAATCTATGGAAAAAAAAAAAGCTAAAATCAAAATGCTGGTCAATATGTGGAGCAAATGAAAGTGTAACAAGAAGGCAAAATGGAAATCCACTTAGGAAAAAGGTTTGGCAATTTTTTTTTTTTAAGATTTTGTTTATTCATGAGACACACAGAGGGAGAGGCAGAGACACAGGCAGAGGGAGAAGCAGACTCCATGCAGGGAGCCCAATGTGGGACTCGATCCTCAGACCCAGGATCACTACCAGAGCCGAAGGCAGATGCTCAACCACTGAGCTACCCAGGCGTCCCAGTCTGGATAGCTGACCCAAGAAAAATGAAACATTTGTCTGGGAGAGGTTTGCACAAGTTGAGAGCAGCTTCATTCAAGATAGCCAAAAATTTAGACAAACCCAGGTGTCCATCATTATCTGGGAATAGATTTTAAAAAGATGAAAAAACTGGTAAAGTCATACAATGGAATCCTATTCAGCAATAAAAGAGGAAAAAGTAGTGACACATGCAATACAGATGCATCTCAAAAACTTGATGCTGAAAGAAGCTTTACACAAGAAAGCACACCTTATATAATTTCTTTTACATGAAATGCTAAAACAGGCAAATCTAATGTTATAGAAAAAAAACAGGGCAGCCCCAGTGGCTCAGTGGTTTAGCGCCGCCTTTAGTCCGGAGCCTGACCCTGGAGACCCAGGATCGAATCCCACATCGGGCACCCTGCATGGAGCCTGCTTCTTCTCCCTCTGCCTGTCTCTGCCTGCCTCTCTCTCTCTCTCTCTCTCTGTGTGTGTGTGTGTGTGTGTGTGTGTGTGTCTCTCATGAATAAATAAAAATATTTTTTTAAAAAAAAGAAAAAAAAGAAAGAAAAAACCAAAACAACGGTTGACTCAGGGAGGATGGTGGGGAAAACAATCTGGAAGAGGCCTAAGGGAGCTTTGTCGGGTGACAGTTCCCTATTCCCATAGGGGTTTGGTCACACAGGTGTCAGGAAGTCAAAACTAAGTGAATGGTACACTGAAGACTTGTGTAATACACTGTGAATAAATTTACCTAAAAAAGAAACTAGATAAATACTGAGCCCAAATGAATGATATGCATGCTGAAATGTTTAGGAGTGAAGTATGCTGGTTATCTACAACCCACTCTGAAATGCATGAGGAAAACCCACGTGGATTCACAGATGGGACACAGATGGACAGATTCACAGCTGCAGAATAAAGCAAATACATTAAAAGTCAATTACAGAAACTAGGTGGTAGATATATGGGTGTTCAATGTACAATTTTTTCAACTTTTCTATGTATTTAGAGGTTTCAAAAGAAATTGTAATGGGGGAAGCCCGGGTGGCTCAGCGGTTTAGCACCTGCCTTCAGCCCAGGGCATGATCCTGGAGACCCGGGATCGAGTCCCACATCGGGCTCCCTGCATGGAGCCTGCTTCTCCCTCTGCCTGTGTCTCTGCCTCTCTGTCTCTCTCTCTGTCTCTCTCTCTCTGTCTCTTACGAATAAATAAATAAAATCTTAAAAAAAAAAGAAATTGTAATGGGACATCTTCTTACAAAATAAGAAAATAAAGGCCAGGTGAACCTGGATGTCTCAGTCGGTTAGGTGAACAGCTCTTGATCTCAGCTCAGGTCTTAATCTCAGGCTTGTGAGTTCAAGCCTCACATTGGGTTCCATGCTGAGCGTGAAGCCTACCTAAAAAAATATATATTTTTAAATATATTTTTTAATAAAAAAAATAAATGCCAGAATCCAGGAGAGTGACTTCGGTAGTGAAACATCTGGGAAGCACCACATTTTGAGAACTGCAGAAACTTGTTATGTTTGGCACAACAGTGAAAAAAATTAGGAAAAGGAACATCTTTTACTATGCACACTCAGAAGTAAAATACATTATCTAGCAACAAAGGGCAAACAGGAATATATAAGGTACACTTAGATTCAGTAAGGAAAATGTTAGTTGAGGGGATACTGAAGATAGAGACAAGCTGCCTTCAGAACTGATGAGCCCCCCACTCTGGAGGTTGCCCAGGCACAGACTAAAAGGCCACATGAGAGAAGTTATAAACAAACTCTCAAGTGGGAGGAAAACCACCACAGGAACCAACCAAACTCTATGACTCTACGTTTTTTTTTGTTTTTAAAGATTTTATTTATTTATGAGAGGCACAGAGAGAGAGGCAGAGACACGGGCAGAGGGAGAAGCAGGCTCCCTGAGGGGAGCCCAATGTGGGACTTGATCCTGGGATCTCAGGATCACACCTTGAGCTGAAGGCAGACACTCAACCACTGAGCCACTCAGGCTTCCCTCCATCCCAGGTTTGTTTTGTTTTTTTTTTAAAGATTTTATTTATTCATTCATGAGAGACACAGAGAGAGAGAGAGAGGCAGAGACACAGGCAGAGGGAGAAGCAGGCTCCATGTGCTCCAGGTGCTAAACCGCTGAGCCACCCAGGGATTCCCTCCATCCCAGTTTTAATGTACGATCACAGAACCCTATGACAAGAAAGGATGGCTCGTCATTAGGGCATCCCAGAGAAGTCCACTATTTGATTGGCAAAATCCTGGCTTGAGGACTGAGAACAGCACAAACTCCCGGAGAAGTTCACGGGCTGGGGGAGAAGACGGATAGAACCTGAGCAACCACAAGAGAGGCGGTCACTAAAAAAACACATGAACTATGGTAGAATGTGAAGCAAGAAATTTGCTAACTGGGGAGGATCTTCCTGAGAAGTGATCTGAAAAGTGAAGAAAATGACTGACAAAAAAGAAAGGCAAGTGTACACCAGGCTAAGAGCCAAGCAGAAATGAGATCTACTTGCTGATCCGGCAGAGATGTCTCATTACCAACATACATGGATTAGATGCTTCTTCAAAGAACCTTCTCCTGGTTTCTGATACTAGACTTTCTTGGTTTTCCTCCTACTTTTCTAGACCTTCACAGTTTTCTCAAAGCCTTTTTGTCCTACACTCTGATTCCTTTTAACAGTTACTCTAAACTTAATTGTCCTAATATAGCAAGGGAATATCTTCATAAAGGAAATGGCATCCTAATGCCAAAAACAAGATGAAAAAGGAAATGAAGCAACTAGAATATAAGTTTTAAAGGATCATGTTTACATAATTCTCTCTGCACAGAAAACAACACTATTTAAATTATAATAAATGTGTTTGAATGCTTGTAAAGCTTTCTCCATAACTTGATCAAGAGCTAACATCTCACTTTCACCATGTTGTGCATGCTATTCCAAGTCAGGGTCACGTACACACTCCATAAAAATCAATACTTTCTGACATATATGTTTTTTATCATTGGCAACATAACCAATGAAGTAACTTTTTAAACAAATGACTCAAGCCAAGTCAAGTCATTGAACTGTTTTCCATGCCTCCAATCTTGTTCTCTTACCCATCATATTAATATATTAAATTGGTGTTAAATCAATTTTGTATTTCTAAAATCCACATCAGTGCCAATGGATTTTCGTCCTGAAACTCTGAGCTCTCTTTTTTGACACATCAAAACTCAAATTCAAGGTTCTCCAGGATCTGAACACTGCTTATGTTTTCCATACCACTCACTTACACCTCCATACCAAACTACTTACCATTTTCCAAATGCATTAGTATTCTTTCACAAGTCCATGGTTTGTGGGTAGTCTTCTACCTATTTCCAATATCCATCCATCCCGATTCACCCAAAATTTCTTCTTTCTTTTTTAAAGATTTTATTTTTAAGTAAGCTCTACACTGAACGTGGGGCTCAAACCCACAGCCCCAAGGTCAAGAGTCACACAGTCTACCAACTAAGCCAGCCAGGCACCCCTCACCCCAAAATCTTTTTTTTTCTTCCCAAAATCTTATTCCTCCTTCAAAACTGAAATAAAACATCTCATCATGTGAGTCCTCCCCCAGCCCACCTACCCTCCTAGGCACCATCCACTAGGAGATTACATTCTCTTTTAGGCCACTAGGAACCTTATCTACAACCCCTCAGAGCACCTATCACTTTGTATTCTAACTTTTTCTGTTCGTATCCCCTACTTGAGTTGAGGTCTTATAGGATGGAAGCCATGCCTTACTCATTTTGGTATCGTAGGTACAACCCCAGCCGGGGGCAGCCCTGGTGGCTTAGCGGTTTAGCGTCGCCGTCAGCCCGGGGTGTGATCCTGGAGACCTGGGATCGAGTCTCATATCGGGCTCCCCGCATGGAGCCTGCTTCTCCCTCTGCCTGTGTCTCTGCCTCTCTGGGTCTCTCATGAAAAAATAAAATCTGGAAAAAAAAAAAAAAAAAAAAAAAAACCAACCCGAGCCGGATACTGGACTCTGGGCAGGAATGTGGAATGTACCACTGAATGACTGACAGGCTTCCTAAATACATATGTAAATTTAAAGAATTACAGAGATAAATGGGTAGAACAACTCAAATGTCTCCACTTGAAAAGGCTGCAAACTTCACCCTCAAATATCTGCAAAGTAAACAGAGGTGGCTGTGGCACAGTCCCAAGGAATACTCCTAGTAAACAGACTCACTGGTGATTCTCACTGCCCGGTCAGTGCGGAAGTCCTCTGTGTCTGGTTCATCAAGGTCTTCCAGGAAGTTATATTCTGGATCGTCATCATCATCAGCCTCATCTGGGAAAAAAATATTTCGGACACTTATTCTACACTCTGAAATCTTACATTTTCACTAATGATTATACAAATCTGTTCCAATAAAGCACATTTATTCGTAAGTTTTTAAATAACTTCTCCCCCCATGTATTTGCACAGCTCATTTCTGATAGCCGACACATCCCACCTAGTCTCTCCAATAAGCCAAGTTCTTTCCTTCCTTCAAAAAAGACTTAAATCTGCCAAAATGCAGCAAAAAGCCAGAAAACTGAACATATAACTTATCTAAGTAACCCCACTATGACTAGTGCAGAAAAATAACACTTTTGTAAAACTATATATATAAAGGCACTGACAGTGAAAAAAAAAAGGACCCTAATTCCCAACAATTAGGGAAAAACTATTATCTTGATGCCTTAGTATAAAACAGTACATATGGGGCAGCCCGAGTAGCTCAGTGGTTTAACGCCACCTTGGGTCCAGGGCCTGATCCTGGAGACCCGGGATCGAGTCCCACATCAGGCTCCCTGTACGGAGCCTGCTTCTCCCTCTGCCTGTGTCTCTGCCTCTCTCTCTGTGCCTTCTCTCTCTCTCTCTCTCTCTCTCTCATAAATAAATAAATAAATAAATAAATAAATAAATAAATAAATAAATAAATAAATAAATAAATAAAATCTTAAAAAAAAAACAGTACATATGTGTAAACATTCATGAACATCCAATACATGCATGACAAAGTACAACACAATATAACACACGATAATCCTCAGTATGAAAAGTTACATCCCTACAATAAGACTCAGAAATAACTAAAAATATACAAAATAAACATTCATTATGTTAGGGCACAGAAGAAATAGGGATGTTCCTCTAAGGTTGATGCTATGATTCCTAGATTAAAAACTGAAGAAGTAAAAAAAAAAAAAAAAAAAAAAAAAAAACAAAAAAAACAACAAAAAAAAAAAACTGAAGAAGTCCCTGAATTACAGATTCATTACATAATAAGGTGATTTATATTATAAAGTTCCAGGAAAACTTTAGGTAAGTGATGTCTGGAAGAACATTCAGTGCTGATGGAAATGTCCTGCACATGCCTGGAACAGTAACAGTGGCTCCTGGCAATAGGCAACACCTGAGAACTTGAAATGTCCCTAGTACAAGAGGGATGCCTGGGTGGTTCAGTCAGTGAAGCGTCTGCCTTCAGCTCAGGTCATGATCTCAGTGTCCTGGGACTGAGCCCCACAATAGGCTCCCCTGCTCATGCTCTCTCTCAAATAAAATCTTTTAAAAAAAATTAAAAAAGCCTGCCAAACAGGAGTAACTAAATTCTTTATTACTATGTAGCCATTAAATGGGAAAAGTAGTCTCTGTGTATTACAATGGAAAACTGTCTGAATTATATTGTTGTTGTTGTTGTTTTAAAGATTTTATTTATTTATTCATGAGAGACAGAGAGAAAGAGAGAGAGGCAGAGACACAGGCAGAGGGAGAAGCAGGCCCCATGCAGGGAGCCCAATACAGGACTCGATCCCAGGTCCTCAGGACCACGCCCTGGGCTGAAGGCAGGCGCTAAACCTCTGAGCCACCCAAGTTGAATTATATTGTTAAGTGAAAGAAGCAAGTTGCAGATGCAGAGTAATACATATACTATGATTCCTTTCATGGAAAAAAAATTGTTGAGGTGAATATGTGCTTGACTGAATACACAGCAAATAACCAGAAAGCATTAAGATGAATATTCCCCTCTATGTACCCTTCCACAGTATTTTCATTTTTTTGTAATAAATGAGTATCTTTCATTAAAAATAAAAATATATACACACAATTTTGATTCATAATCACTGGGAAATCCACACCGATTAGCCTCAATCTAACCTGAAGTTTTTCACTCCACATTTATACTCATGTCATAATATATTAATTTGCATTATTTATAATATAGCTAATTTTTTAAAAAGATTTTACTTACTTATTCATGAGAGACATAAAGGAAAGAGGCAGAGACACAGGCAGAGGGAGAAGCAGGCTCCCTGCGGGGAGCCCAATGCAGGACTCAATCCTAGGACCACAGGATCACACCCTGAGCCAAAGGCAGAGGCTCAACTGCTGAGCCACCCAGGCATCCCTATAATGTATCTATTTAAATGTCAAGTCTTTGTCATCCATTTGTGTGTTAATGTTCCCAATAAAAATTCTTTAAATCCTTATGAATGGAATCCTGTCTTCCCAATCTCTATAGTCCTTTCTAGTAAGCATCTTCAAGGCAGGCTCTATACAAACATGCCAAACAATGAAAGCCCTGGGAAGAACTCTGACATGTGGGTCGTGCACACGGGTGTAGAAAGCCCTATCTGTGTGCGTGCAAGGACTGAGACAGATGGCTTCTGCCCACAGCACGCCAGTGGGCCAGCCCATATTCTCAGAGCACCCGTTTGCCACACACATTGGAAAGTCATTAGCAAAGTTTCCTCTGAGTTCTTAGCTTTTAGCTCCTTAGTTGTGGAACCTGCCCTCTTATTCTTGACTGACTGATGAAGTCAACATCCACCTAGCTGATGCCGATTTGCTGTGCCCCTCCAGTGTAGCCTCTCAATTACGTCTGACAAATGAGATTCTCGTTTTTAATACTACGCAAATCAGATGGCACTAGGAATAGGCAAGAATAGCCACGCAATGTTAAAAACAGAGCAGCGTACAGCGGGAGTGTGGTTCTGGGATCTGTCCAGCACCAGTCCTATTTGTCAGCACTCTAAGTTAAGCCAGTGGATCAGTCCACCCTGATCACACGTATCTCCCAGACTAGCAGTTTCCAATCCTTTAGGATGTATAAGAATTAGATCCCTAGGCCACATCCTCTGGAGATTTGGACTCAGTCAGTAAGAGGTGAGGCCCTGGAATCTCTATCGTTAACTAACACAAGCCAGCACACACACCAGTCCTTTCGGGTTCTGGGATGAAACCAGGAGCAGCACTGCCTTGGGCTCCCAAACACCTGATACCTGAGACCCTGCCTGGCCTTTCTTCCTGGACAGCCAGCGTCTCAGCTCTTGCAGCCATGCTAATGGAAATCAGGGAAAATCAGGGCACAAGTTGCCAACACAGATAAAGCCACAAGGACCTTAGTTCCTGTCAATATTTTGTCTTAGCCTAGGCCCAAAGACAAAAAGAGGCAGAGCTTGCTTATTTATTATTTAACAAATGCTTTTTATCTCTGAGACTTCCTTCACTGGGATACATTCCTAGAACATTAAAGCAGCCTCAAATTCTAGCAGCATAACAAACTAATTCTTATAATAAAGCTAATTTTTTTAAAAGATTTTACTTATTTATTTATGAGAAACATAGAGGAGGGATCCCTGGGTGGCGCAGTGGTTTGGCGCCTGCCTTTGGCCCAGGGCGCGATCCTGGAGACCCGGGATCAAATCCCACATCGGGTTCCCGGTGCACGGAGCCTGCTTCTCCCTCTGCCTGTGTCTCTGCCTCTCTCTCTGTGTGTGACTATCATAAATAAATAAAAATTAAAAAAAAAAAAAGAAACATAGAGGAGAGAGGTAGAAACACAGGCAGAGGGAGAAACAGGCTCCCCACAGGGAGCCCAATGCAATACTCGATCCTAGGACTACAGGATCACGCCCTGAGCCAAAAGCAGATGCTCAACTGCTGAGCCACCCAGGCATCCCTATTTTGTTGCCACAACAAAATTCTCAGAGAGATCTGTGAAATGGATAGAACTACATTTGTCCCTGTTCATGCCCTTCTGCAGAGATTCTGAGCCTTGGTATCATGGAACTTGAGATGGGTTGGTAGAAAAAGGTAGTGTCAATGAATAAACATCAAGAGATTTATAGATCCCAAAAAACTTTCCTTTTTTTTTTTCCCAAAAAAATTCCCATACAAAAAATCTGTGACCCCTCTGGATCATGAAACTGTCATCGTGGGTAGGAGCTTTCATAATTATCTTTATACAATATTTGATTTCTTCCCCCCAAGCCTGTATTGTTTCTATAGTTACAATGCAGGGACTAGATGGCTTGTAGGAGGACATGTCCCAAAACATCCGTAATATACATAATCACCTATCACCTCCCTCATCTACCTCCTCTCCTCGCTGGCGCTGGCATTATTGTCAAACACGGGGATCCCTGGGTGGCTCAGCGGTTTAGTGCCTGCCTTTGGCCCAGGGTATGGTCCTGGAGTCCTGGGATCGAGCCCCACATCGGGCTCCCTACATGGAGCCTGCTTCTCCCTCTGCCTGTGTCTCTGCCTCTCTCTGTGTATCTCATGAATAAATAAATAAAATATTAAAAAAAAAATATTGTCAAACACCCTTCAAAGGCCCAGCTCAATTACCCTCTCTTTCATGGAGCTGTCTCTGAGCTATCCTAAATAAGAATGCTTTCTCCCCCCCCCCAAAAAAAGAATGCTTTCTCCCTTAGAAAACCTTGGAAGAGCATTTATGCCACTTTTATGGCATATCTAAGTTTATTCAAGTTCATTCATCTGAAATGTACTGTGCATCTAACAATGGACTTCCTGCACATTTTAATCTTTAATGTAATGATTATGCCCCCCCTCCTTTTTTTAAGGCTTTATTTATTTATTCAACAGATAGAGAGCACACACATGCAGAAGCAGGGGGAGCAGCAGGCAGAGGGAGAGAGAGAAGCAGACTCCCCGCTGAGCAGGGAGCCCGCCACAGGACTAGTCCCAGGACCCTGGGATCACAACCTAAGCCAAAGGCGGATGCTTCACCAACTGAGCCATCCAAGGGCCCCAGGATTACACTCCTTTCTCTCTCATGATTCTAGCACAATGTCTCATAAAAGGAGAACACTTGACAAATATTTACCAAGTGATGTATCACATAATTAATAGCTCCATAAGGTCTATTCAAGGACTTACTCTCTTTCATTCACTTATGCTGACTTACTCCTAGCCTTACCTACACAAATATTTATTCAATCTATCTCCATCAAAACTATATGTTCTCTTATTTATCTTAATGCATTACTCTTGGGATGCCTGGGTGGCTCAGCAGTTTGGCGCCTGCCTTTGGCCCACCCAGGGTGTGATCCTGGAATCCCAGGATCGAGTCCCACGTAGGGCTCCCTGCATGGAGCCTGCTACTCCTCTGCCTATGTCTCTGCCTCTCTCTCTCTCTGTGTGTCTCTCATGAATAAATAAAATCTTTAAAATATATATATTTTTAAAAAACATTACTCTTTTCAACATGCAAATCCTATGTAACTGTAGAAAACAGAGAAAAGAATAAAGATGTTCTCTGTAGGTTGTCTGTAATTAGACTTTTTTTTTTTTAAACTTTTTAATTTTTTTTTTTATTTATTTATAATAGTCACAGAGACAGAGAGAGAGAGAGAGGCAGAGACACAGGCAGAGGGAGAAGCAGGCTCCATGCACCGGGAGCCCGACGTGGGATTCGATCCCGGGTCTCCAGGATCGCGCCCTGGGCCAAAGGCAGGCGCCAAACCGCTGCGCCACCCAGGGATCCCTGTAATTAGACTTTTTTAAAAAATGTGAATCTTCCACAGCACAACTAGAGAATATTCTGGTCACTCTCTACTGAAAAGTCAAAAAGAAACAAGAAGAACAAAATTTCCCTGGTTTTCCCAAAAGAATGTGCCAACATCTGGAATCACTATAAAGTAAGACAATCTCTAACATCTTCTAAATCTACCAAAGTTTTATTGCACAAAACGTGAACAATGATGCCCGATTTCCACTACAGTACAAAAAAATCCCCAAAGACAACTTCTATAACATTTCTTTCACTAGATTAAAGTAGTTTCAGTTACATTTTTTTTTAAGAATTTATTTATTCATGAGAGACACAGAGAGGCAGACATATAGGCAGAGAGAGAAGCAGGCTCCTCACAGGGAATCCCATGCAGGACTCGATCCCGGACTGGGATCATGCCCTGAGCCGAAGGCTGACACTCAACCGGTGAGCCACCCAGGCATCCCATCAGTTACATTCTAAAACAAAAAGGATTGTAGTAGGAATTCTTACACCACGGATGACTGTAGTCAATACTGTTTTTGTCCAAGAAATGCTCCTTCCCCACTTCCGGAAATACTATCACATCTTCTGGACAACTGCCTGCTCCAAGCACTCTATTCCCATGGGTGCTGCCAATCACAGGACTCCATGCTGAGTCCCCTATCAACACCATGCTGCACCAAGAGTGGGCCTGTGACCACACCAAGCCAATCTGAGTTGTTCCTCTGGATTTTTCAAACTGGAGCCCATAGGGAAGAGTCCTTCCAATGTGAAGACAAAGCAAGATGTAAACGGTGTGCTCATGGCCACAGGAAAAAAAAGCAGGTCAGAGAATGGACCTGAGGGACAAAAAGGGGCAGAAACACCAGCTCCAGAGATGGAAGGAGGCCCTGTGACGGCAGGTTTTCCCGCCCTCCCCAAAGGCCAGGTCATTCGACTTTAGTTCAGTATGGTGGCAGCTAATGCTGCTTCACATGCATTATGAGGATCCCTAACTAACATGGGTCTTTGAGTGAGTCAGTGCACTCTCATGAAATCATGTATGAAATTATGTCTGCACTTATGTTTCAGGGGATGACTCTTCGTATTCAAAAGATTCCCCAAAGGATTTATAACCAGCACACTGTAACACAGTGAATGGTACCGTGATAGCGCTGTATGCTGAAGATGGTAGCTACGCTTGTGGTGAGCACAGCATCACATGTAGTCTTGACAAGTCACTATGTTGTGCACCAGAAACTAATGGAACGTGTGTAACCCATACTCAAAGATTCTTAGCTCAAAAAAGAAGGGGACTTGGGATCCCTGGGTGGCGCAGCGGTTTGGCGCCTGCCTTTGGCCCAGGGCGCGATCCTGGAGACCCGGGATTGAATCCCACATCGGGCTTCCGGTGCATGGAGCCTGCTTCTCCCTCTGCCTGTGTCTCTGCCTCTCTCTCTCTCTGTGACTATCATAAATAAATAAAAATTAAAAAAAAAAAAAAAGAAGGGGACTTAACTACCAATTTAAAGCAAATTCTGAGTTAAATACAATTAAACTCCGTTAAACCAAAACATCCCCTTCCTTTAAGCTTCTAATGAAAATTCTACCACAGAGATAGTGGACAGAGTAGGTAAAAAAGGCAAACAAATTCACTTACCCTCATTTCCCACATCATCGTTCATGAGTCCTCCCAGCCAAACCTTCCAGTCCTCATCATCTGCTGTATTGGGGTCATACATGTCTGGAGTGATGTCTGGAGCCCGGAGCTCTGCCTCTAGCTGCCCTAGGGGAACATCTTTCAGAGGCATCTTAGAGCGGGTTCGGAATGCGATGAGGCTATCATCCATGGGCTTGCAAACAAAGAAGGGATAACACATGTCACTCAAGGCTTGGTGCTTCCTAATTCTCCAAACCTCCTCAGACTTCTTGTACCTGCACACTTCTCTTCTTGGCTTAAATCACAAGGTCTCTTCTCTAAACAATTTGGGTCTCTTATACTCTGAGAAACGTTAAGTGATATCAGTTTTAAAAACCAACATTTCAAAAACATTTATAATAGCTTTACTAAGATATAATTTACACTCCATAAAATTCATCCTTTTGAAATGTGTAACAGTGCCTTTTATCATATTCACAGAGCTGTGGGCCTTCATCAGTATCTAATTTCAGAACATTTTCTTCACCTCTAGCAGAAATCTCAATCCTACTAGCAGTCGTTTCCCAGTCCCTGACAACCACTAATCTACTATCTCTACGGATTTGCTTATGCTGGACATGTTATATGAATGGAACCCTACAGTACGTGGCCTTTTGTCTCTGGCTTTGTACTAACCATGATGTTTTCAAAGTTCATCCATGTCGTAGTGTGTGTCAGTACCTCACTCCTTCTCACTGCATAATAAAATCCCATCTACACTTTGGTGTGTCCATTTATCAGGTGATGGAAATCTGCGCTGTTTTCACTTCAGGAAACTTTATTTTAAGTAATGCCACAATGACCATTTGTGTACTCTTTTCTACTAGGATATATGTGTTAAATTCTTCTGGAGTAGACTTTCTGAGCCATAGGGTAACTATGTTTAATTTTTGAGGAACCACTAACCCATTTTCCAAAGTGGCTACACCATTTCACATTCCCACCAGCACTGTGTGAGGGTTCTATATTACTACATTTCCCTGCCAACACTTGTTATTTTCCATCCTTTTTATTATAGCCAGCCTAGTGGGTCTGAAATGGTATCTTGTACTTTTCATTTGCAATTTCCTAACAACTAATGATGTTGAGCATCTTTTCACATGCTTACTGGCCATGTGTGTCTTCTTCAGAAAACTATTCATATACCCATTTTTGACCTCAGTTGTCATTTCATTGTTGAGTTATAGGAGTTCATTATATATTATGGATACAAGGCCTATTATGCCTATGTTTTCCTCTATTACTTTTATAATTTTAGCTCTCATATTTAGGTCAGTGACTTACTTTGCATTAAGTTTTGTATTTGGTGTGAGGTAAGGGTACTTTACCTTTACCAAAAGTACTTTACCAAAAGTACTTTATATACTTTTGGATCTGGAGCTCCAGTGGTCCCAGCACCATCTGCTCAAAAGACTACTCTGGCACCATTACTGGTTTTGGCATACTTGTCAAAAATCAGTTGACCATAAATGTAAGGATTTCTGGGCTCTCAATTCAGTTCCATTGATCCACAGAACTATTTTTATGCCAGTACCAACCTGCATTGATTAATTTTGTATGATTACTTTAACTTTGTAATGAACTGTGAAATCAGGAAGTGCAGACCTCCAACTTGTTTTTTGAAGATCGGTTTAGCTATTTTGGATCCCCTGCATTTCCATGTGAATTTCAGGATAAGTCTATCAACTTCTGCCAAAAAAATTAAAAGCAGCTGGGATTTGGATAGGGATGGTACTGAAGCTGTAGGTCACTTCAGGAAGTCCTCCCTGGATGACTGCACCCATGTACTGACAGACTTCTCGGTTTCCTCCCTTGCTCTCCTACAGACTGTTGCCCACAACTTAACCAAAGGGAAATGTTTAACATGAATCAGAAAATATCACACAAAGCTCTTCAAATGTGAAAATAAAATCTAAACTCCTTATCATGTTCCCAAGACCCCCCCATTACCTAGCTCTTGCCCAGCTGTCTCACCTCACCCCTACTTTTCTCTTTCATCATCCACAGGCTTCAGCTTGTTTCTGTCCCTTATACACATCAAAACTCTGAATGTGCAGTTTCCTCTGCCCAGGACACTTTTCCCCAGATCTTTTAGATGCATGGCTCCTTCTAATTCAGATCTCAATTCAAATGTCACCTCCTCAAGGAGACCTTTTTTTTTTTTCTTAAAGATTTTATTAAAAAAAAAAAAAGATTTTATTTTTAAATAATCTCTACATCCAACATGGGGCCTGAACTCACAACCCCAAGATCAAGAGTCAGGTGCTCCACTGACTGAGCCAACCAGACGCCCAAAGAGGTCCCTTCTGGTCATCCTGTGGAAGCACTCTGATAGGCATTACCTGATTTCTCTGCTTTTATTTATTTTATAGCACCTACCACAGCTCGAAATCATCTGTTTATGGTATCTCTGTCAAATAATCTATAACCTCCAAGAGGAAAGAACTTTCTGTCTTGTACAGTGTTATTCCCCAACTTCCATCATTTGGGACGTGTATGAATAAATGGTTACACAAAATACTATCACCCCCCCAACACTATTTACTCACCCCAAAGCAGAGTGATTAGACTAAATGACCCTTGGATGGGGTCATTGGAAGGGTGTTCCATTCGATGTTCTCTTTTTAAATTTTTGGACATATTTTTCATTAACCTACAAGACTAGTGGAAAAAAAATAGAAACATTCAAAAGAACTAAATGGTGAAATTTAGAAAGTCATCAATGGACAGTGACCAGTGTCACGACTGTTTCCAGCAAGAATAAGCAATGGATGGTAGAATTAGTGGGCAAAAAGATGTCTGGCCTCAAAGCATATCCCCTTAAGATATGTATTAATTAATTTAACAATGAAAAAATAACTTTATAATAATAAGGAAATAAAGCAGACATCACCATAACCATGGGATCCCTAGTCACCCAAGAAATGTCACAAGCCTTCTGATGTGACACACTGGGGAGAGCAAATCGATTCTGTGGCATTTGGGCCAAAAGTGCATGACCTGAATCTAATTATGAGAAAATATCAGAAAAATCTGAATCGAGGAACATTCTGTAAAACTAATAGTCTATACAGGTCAAAAATGTCAAGGTTATGAATAACAAATACTGAGAAACTGTTCCAGATTAAAGGATGCTACAAGGGGCACCCAGCTAGCTCACTCAGTAGAGCATGGGATTCTTGATCTTGGGGTTGTGAGTTTGAGCCCCACGTTGGGTGCAGAGAGTACTTTAACAAAAAATAAATATGCTAGGAGATAAGACACTATATGTGGTCCTGGACTGGGTCTGGCATCAGGGGGAAATGTTTCTTTTTCTAGAAACGGCCCTAATAAGACAACTGGTAAAATCTAAAGAACTTTTCCAATATTACTTCTCTTCGTAACTGAATGTCTTCAGTTTTAGAAATAAACATGACTGTGTTTAAGGGTAAATGAGCATCACGACTGCAACATACTATAAAGTGATTCAGGTAAACAAGTATGTGTACAGAGCGAAAAAGCAGGCGGGAACATGAAGCAATTCTGCTAAAGATTACAATCTGGGTAATGCGCTGGAAAGCTGTTCCCGTGTTCTACCTTTTAAAATGCTCTCCATGACGTACCGTAGTCCTTCCCCAGGAGCTGCAATTCTCAAAACAAAACAACATGAACCAAACAGACTATCAAAGACCTGCATTTTCATGACTCTTACTCAGTCACCAGAATTTCTGTCTTCCCGTCTCCCTCCCTAACCTGAGCGGCAACATTACTCCATTTGACTTCATCAATGATTCAGTTATGCTGTTTACCTGGAAAGAGTCCATGCATATGGGACTGGAGGCCAGCTCCTCATCTACTGCATGCAACTTCTCCATGAAAGTACTGTCCCTGGTCTGCTTGGGCTTCGGGGGGGGCGGGGGTCCCATGGGCACAACCTCAGCACTGATGTGCCTGACGGCAGGGGCGGGGACCTTCTCTGCCTGATTAAAAGAGACAACTGTGTTAAAAAATGAAAAGGAGGGAGGGAGGAGAGAAGAAAAGGAAGAAGAAGAAAGAATAAAAAAGGAGCAGGGGGAGGGGGCACATCTTGCCCATACTGGTGCTACTCCTCTTCCCATCCAGAAAGAACTCCATAAAAACAAAAGCACTGTCATATATTAATATAATTAGGTTCCATTGTATTTCCAATGTAGACAACAGGATGCTACTTAGTTTACCAAAAGTGGGAAATCTAATAAAAATGGCTTCAGGACAGTATTAGAAAGAAGACAAAGTGGAAAAGAAACTGCTCATCACTTACATTTGGCCCTCAATGAAAACTCAGAAAAGCGCTCTCCAAGTTCCAGTTTCCCTCTCAACTGTTCACTGACTTAAAGGACTTTGTTTTGTTTTCACGTTTGGTTGGTTGGTTGGTTGATTTATTGAGAGAGAACATGAGCGAGCACACAGACAAGCAGGGGGATGGAGAGAGAGAGAGAATCTCAAGCAGATCAGTGCTGAGCACAGAACCTGACACCACCTCAATCTCACAACCCTGATTCACAACCTGAGCTGAAACCAAGAGTCAGATGCTTTACCGTCTGTGCCACCCAGGCGCCCCAACTTAAAAGACTCTGAAACCTGAAAACTTCTAATCAGCCAAAAGGATGAGGAAGGAAATGACACAAATAGTGATCTTGAAGCACTTTGGTAAAGGTGACAGCTTGGCATCATCGCATATGGCCAGCTTTCTGCAGTCCCCTTTCCCTCATCTCTTCATGACGCAGACTCACCTCTGACAGCATGCTCCCCTCCTCATCGGTCTCAGTCATCTCAGAAGATTGCCTCAACCTGGACTTCTTTGCCCCCCGTGGAGACGAAGCGGTACTCTCAACATCACTTTCCAACAAACTCTAAAAAACAAATCCGGTTCACATTTCTATTTCTGCCCCTGCCTCATCCCACTGAGTCTGAAGTATCTCAAGAAAATGAACCAGTTTAGTCAAAGTAAGAGAAAATAAGGCTTAAACAGAAGTTTAATATTCTGAAGGTAGGCACACAGATCAGACTGCAATCCTCATCTGAAGTATAAGACAATGGCTTAAAATTCCTTTACAAACAAGTCAAATACACTAAGAAACAGAATATCACCCAGAATGAAACGAACACAGTGCAGCCGTAAGCAACAGTATTGACGAACCAGAAAGGATTAATTATGGAATAAAGAAAACAAAAGCCAGACACTATGGGATGCCTGGGTGGCTCAGCAGTTAAGCATCTGCCTTCAGCTCAGGGCGTGATCCTGGAGTCCCAGGATCGAGTACCATGTCGGGCTCCCTGCATGGAGCCTGCTTCTCCCTCTGCCTATGTCTCTGCCTTTCTCTCTCTGTGTCTCTCATGAATAAATAAATAAAATCTTAACAAAAAAAAAAAAAAAAAAAAGCCAGACACTAGAACACATACACAGTCCACAATATAAGGTTCAGAAACAGTACAAAACAAGACTAGAGTGTGTCATGTGCATACATAGGAGAGAAAACTATAAAGAAAAGAGCACAAGGAGTGCATTGGCAATGCTAGATTTAAGGACTTTGGAGAATGCTTCATGACCTCTGGCCTTATAATTATTTAAGCTGTATTTTTAAGTTTTTATTCTGTGTACATTTTATATGTTATGTATGTGTTCTATTTCATAATATAAAACATGAAAACATGAAGGGAGTAAAGAAAACAGCTCACAGTCCTGGATTTATGCAAAGAAATTAGCAGAAAGAAGAACTGTGTCTCCATAGTCTCTACAGAACAGGTAACAATATTCAGGAAGCTTTACTGAGCCCAACTGTTTCTACATTAGCAACTACCACTCACAAGGGAGCACTAACCTCTTCAGCCGTCTCATCTTCCTCTTCATCATCTGGCTGGTACTCTTCATCTGAGGAGTCATCTTCTTCAAGGTGGATATCCACAAATTGAGGAGGCTATGTAAGTACAATCACAGAAAGAAATGAATAGGAAACACAAATCATATGTATTTGGAAAGTAAGAGGAAAAAAGCAGAGCAGGAAAAAATAAATCCTAAAGAGCACAATGAGCAGCTAAAGCAAATAACAAGAGGCAGGGGTTAAAGAGATCTCTAGCATGAGAACCAAACCTAAGAGGAAAAGGAAGGAATAAAACAAAGATCAAATTAAAACAAGAAGATAGAGCCCACTAAAATTAACAAATAAGAAAGAAGTACTTAGGTTTCAAAACTGATGAAGTCTTTCTAAAAAAGAATAAGAATTACCTCTTCCAAGTTTACCTTAATTTCATTGGCCTTCTTAATTGGTGAAATATTCCATGTTGGAATTACCTACCAATAAAGAATATAAATTATGTTCTCTTAACTGAAATAGATGCGTTTTCATTTTTACTTCCTCTTCATCATCATAAACAGCCACATACCTAACATGCATCTGCAGTGATGGAGGGGTATTATCTCTGAGGGTACACTCTCAAATATTTGACAGACTTGCCAGAAGAAGAGGAAAGAAGAATCTATTTCCGTCATTAGCATTTCTGTCTTAAAGCTAGTTAGTTAAGACTCTAGATACTAGAGAAAGTTCTCTGTCTTTCCTATCTTTTTTGTTTTTAAGTAAAGTCTACTCCCAACATGGAGCTCAAACTCACAATCCCAAGATCAAGAGTCACATGCTCTACCGACTGAGCCAGCCAGGCTATCTTGCCTACTTTATATTACAACTTGCGTTCACATGGAACAATGAATTTGAAAACTATTTGTAGGGACACCTGGGAGGCTCAGAGGTTGAGCGTCTGCCTTTGGCTCAGGACGTTGATCCTGGAGTTCCCAGATCGAGTCCCGTATGGGGCTCCCTGTGTGGAGCCTGCTTTGCCTCCCTCTGCCTAAGTCTCTGCCTCTCTCTGTGTATCTTATGAATAAATAAATAAAATCTTTAAAAAAAATTATTTGTAAACTATAATAGTACACATACGTAAGATATCATAGGTAATAGGAACTTTTGGGCGTCAATATTTTTTAATTACACAAATCCACTGTGAGTATGCATCCTGACAGCCAACCATGACCAGTTTTTATGGAAAGACAACTTCTTTTCAAACAGTATCAGAAAAAACAAACAAACAAACAATATCGGAAAAAAACAAGAGACAGATACACAGATAAAAAGGAAATATGGCAAAATTTTATTGTTGTTAAATCTAGATGGAATATTGATTCACTATAAAATTATGTCAACTTCTTATATGTTTTAAAATAACAGAGTTGGGGGTGCTAGAGGGCTCAGTTGGCAAAGGGTCTGCTTTTGGCTCAGGTCATGATCTCAGGGTCCTGGATTGAGCCCTACATCAGGCCCTCTGCCCAGGGAGAAGTCTGCTTCTCCCTCTGCCCCTGCCCCTCCACTCTACTCATGTGTGTTCTCTCTCTTCTCTCTCTCTGAAATAAATATTTTAAAAATAAATAAAATAAATAAAATAAAATAAAATAAATAAATAAGAAAAAAAACAGTCACAGGGAAAAGTTTTTTAGAGAATTTTTTAAGGCTCTTGCATGATGCGGACAAAAAATGTCCCTGGAATGTGTAATTTCTTGACCATTTAATGTGACCCAATGAATCATGTTATGAATAAAATCCAACAGGCCACTGGGTTCCAACTCTACAGGAGTCTTAGACTCTTCACATGTCCTTGGACCTGCCATGTTCTAGCCACTCATATCACTCTGTTGAGCCAGGCCCAATACAGGGTAAAGGGAATGATGTGATATAGGTTCACACCCTTCCCATATTTGTGTCTGAACCAATTAGGCTTCCTACTGTCAAATCCACGAGGAAAGTGAAGAGCATGGGGAAGTGTGTTAAAGTCACCATACTGAGTATTAATCTTGGAATTTGTTTTTTAAAGATTTTATTTATTCATGAGAGACACACAGAGGCAGAGACACAGGCAGAAGGAGAAGCAGGCTCCATGCAGGGAGCCTGACGTGGGACTCGATCCTGGGACTCCAAGATCATGCCCTGGGCCAAAGGCAGATGCCCAACTGCTGAGCCACCCAGGCATCCCTGACCTTGGAATTTAATCCCTGCTCTCCCACATAAACTATAGTCTTGGGTTGTCCAAATTATCTGCATTTATTCATGGTTGGTAAACACAATCCAGAGCCTGATTTGGATCTCTTTGTTTCCAAATCAAATATGGAACTAATGTTAATTATACTCTGTATGTCAGGTAGACTTCATAGAACTTCCAACTCATTGATGGCTGCTTTCATCATAGCTAGCATATATGTTCACTTGTGATCATTATTTCCTGGAGAAATGAAATTTCACTTTATGCAACCAGGGTTAGCCCATTAGACAAAATAATATGAAGGGCTGTCAAAAAAGAAAAGCCAGTGCAATTCTAGGCTGCAATGAAAGAAATATGGTATCTGGAACACTGAAGGGATAAGGTAACTTTAATCCATATAGCTAGACCATATCTAGAATAGGAGTTCCACACAAGGTATATTTCTAAAACTATATGGACTAACCAGGCACATTCAGAAAAGGATCAGACTAGTGAAGTCTTGTCACATGAAACTGATAAAAAACTGGGGGACATTTAGCAACAAAAGAATATTACAAAAAGACATACTAGTTTTCTTCTATTAGAGGAAAGGTCATGTGGAAGAGGAACAGACTTATTTCTTCTACAGAGCTACAAAGAATAGAACTGGACAAAAGGACAAAAACACAATATGCACTTTGGATCCATTAGGCAAATCTTCCTCACCGTCAGATAAAATGGACTACCTCAGGACTGCCACCTGCCTGTTACAGAGGATGAGCACAAACTGGACAAATGGGTCTTTGCATCTGTGCCAGAAAACTCCAGAAGCCTTCGAGCAGCTTCCTTCAGTGAGTGCAAAACAACCAAATGCTATTTCCAATAATGCATATTCCCAGGCCCTATTCCAGGTCTGAGGTAAACTATGGAACACACATTCTCAATAAGCACTCTTGAGGGACTCTACTCAGGGTGATCTGATACAAGTGCTCCCTAGAACACAGGTTGAAAAATACTACTCTAAACCCTTTGCTGCATATAACCTGAATAGAAAAGCTGACTTTGCTTAGTACTTTCGACCATTCTAAATGGTTTAACATTAGAAAAGTACTTCCAAAAGAGCAATACTTCCACATCAACTAAAATAAACTATGATCATGATTCTGTATGTTGTCTCTATTTATCTTTTACAGATATTTCTTTGAAGGAGGCAAATCCAGACCATGATAAATCTTTCCTATATTAGTTTCCCTGCAAATAACCTAGAATTAGACCATATTTACCTAACTAAAGGAAAAAAACAAAAAAAAACAGAACACCCACCACTCCTTTTTCCACCACTTCTTTCAGTTTAGAGCGTGTCATTTTGGGCTCCTGAGGCAGGGAAAATGAGAAGAAAACAGTCAATAAAAATCATCATGTGAATCCTGGGTTTTGAGATGCTAACTCTATCCCCAATATCCAGCTATTTACAAACTCCCAAGTGACCTCCTGCACTTAGCCCATTTACGGATAGCTCTGCTCCAACAACATTAAAAAGTAACAATCAACTACTCACAAACATTGGCATATCTTCCGTCTCACTGATGGCTGCTTTCATCATAGCTACCACATGCTCATTTGTGATTACTTCCTGGAAAGATGAAATTTCACTTTATGCAATGAAGACATGTTACCTAGATAACACCCACTTCTCTGTAAGTCTGCCAGATGTGCAGTGGAGAGACAGGTGCTTCTGGTTGGGATAAGCCTGCTCTGGACAGAAGCACACAGTTTCAAAGGGTCACAGAGCAGGAACGCGTCATCCCACAGCTACCAGCAACAGGAAAGAGTCTGAGTAAGTGACTCTAGCTTCTGAGAAACAGTTACAAGCAAGGAAGGTTTTATAAATGGCTATGTTGACACAGCACCAGCACACATGCAGCATACACTGCCACCGGGCATCTTTTCACACCTATCAGCCCACAGGTAAGTCCACTGCGAACATTATCTTCAAATCTGCTAAACAAGACGTAAAGATATCAAGTCAGTGGAGGAAGACAGGAATAGTTCACCTCCCCAGTTATTTCTCAATGTGTGTTCAGATTTCAAAACGTGTGCTGAGTGCAGGGGGAAAGCCGCCTTGAAATGTAAAATGCTACGGCAGGTGCAACTCACTAAGTCAGGAATCCCCATTCTACCAACCCAGATTTCCCCAGCATGTGAGCTTTCTAGCCACATGACCAGGCCGCTGCCCTACTCACGTGGAGGATGTTGCGCACATTGACAGCGGTCAGGTTGTGCTGCTTGGCGCCATCCTCAAGCGTGCGGTCCAGCGCATCATCCAGCTTCAGGTCACAGGTGCACGTGCCTCCCTCGGGTCCCCGTGCATCTCGCTTCCTCTTGCTGCCCTTTCTCTTCCTTCGCCTTCTCTCACTTTCTTCGCCGCTTTGTTCTTCTGCAAATAAACGGAGAACATCACCAGAATCTCCAAAACCACTACTCCCAGAACTTACCCCAATGGGCCAACAGTAAAGAGGAGAAGAGGCTGCCAGCAGGCTGGTCTTGGAAATCAGAACAGCCTGCACGGTGGCCACAGTGTGGGTGCTTGGTGCCAAAAACCCCGCACCCGCTGCACACTGGTAGAGGTCAGCCAGTCCTCTACACTGATGCATACTTACTCCTAACAACCCAAAGAGGCAGGGACTATTACTTTTCTCATTGCAGATGGAGAAACTTAGGAAGAGAGATTAAGAAACTTTCCCAAGACCCTTGTTCTCTAGCCCTGGCATCCACAGTCCTAATCACTACTCCATACTGCCCAGATAATACAGCAGAAATCCTGGGTCTGTGCTTCGGTTCTGGGTGACCTCAGCAAGAGGCTCATTTCTTTCTTTTGCAAATACAAGTATCTGCCTATCAGGTATGCCATGTAGATGAAGTGAAATAATATACACCAAATGTGCTTTATGCCAATAAAACATTATACAATGTAGTTCGTCTTTATTATTCTATTCAGTCTAGAAAAGAGAAAACAAGGAGCAATGGATAAAAAAATTCACTCTGAACCATATCAAAAAAGGGGAGGGGGGGATCCCTGGGTGGCGCAGCGGTTTGGCGCCTGCCTTTGGCTCAGGGCGTGATCCTGGAGACCCAGGATCGAATCCCACGTCGGGCTCCCGGTGCATGGAGCCTGCTTCTCCCTCTGCCTGTGTCTCTGCCTCTCTCTCCCTCTCTGTATGACTATCATAAATAAATAAAAAATTAAAAAAAAAAAAAAAGGGGGAGGGGGAACAAAGTTATCTCTACTCTACCAGAAGAGAGTATATATATAATCAGACAAAGGGAAAAACTTCTTGATTCTTCGAAGCTGTTAAGTCTTGAAATAGATTATCATGTGATACCAAAATGAGGTTCTCATCCCTCTGATGCTTTCTGCCTGCTACCCTCTGAAAACAAGGATTAAAGAGGATTATCATGATGACCTTCTCTGTCTAAAAAGATTTTGTGACCTCAAGCCATATTGTGGCAATATTTACACAGTGAAAAGTTATTAGTGACTTTATAAACAATTGCTTCTGCACTTGTGAACACACATGAAGAATTTGATAAATGTACGACTTTCAAGCCAATAACTATTGTTCTTAAAAAATGAGACGTGCAGAGACAAATAATCACATTACTCATGTCAACATTAATTATTTTTGCAAAAAGATGGAAAACTCCTAAGTGTCCAGTATTACAGGAATGGTAAAAATGAACACCGGAATATTCATACACTGAGCCATTAAATTAGAAATGGTCTTTTTAGGGGCATCTGGCCAGTTCAATCATAAAGCATGTGAATCTTCATCTCAGGGCTGTGAGTTCCAGCTCCATATTGGGTGAAGAAATTACTTAAATAAACTTTTACTTTATAAACTTTTTTTTTTAACTTTATAAACAGTCTTTTTACACAGTGGTGGAAAGACAAGTAAAAGTGTCTACAAAGAGCTCCTAAGGATACGGAAAACTTTCTGATAATGACTTTGAAGAAAAAAAAGGAAAAGACAGAATTCAAATATGTGCATCTTAGAGCCCTGTCCCCTAAATCAGATGCACTGCTTCAAAGTGCACCCCACAAAATACCTGCAAAAAAAAAAAAAAAAACAACTCCCCAAAGTACCTAAAGAATGATAAAGCTCTTTACTACTTTTTTGGTTATTTTTTGAGAAAGCAGCAGAAGGGGAATTACACAGGATAATATACAACAAAACCCACCTAAAGACGCTTGTATACATATCTTTTCCCTAAGTCTCTCTTCTCATCTCAATGGTTCTCTGTAAATTCTCAAATAGCTCTCTCCCTGCACTCTTCCTGGAGTGAAGAACAAGCCCCTCTCTCTTTGCTCCTCCCTTCCCTCTTGCATCCTCTTTCAAGCACACCAATCCAGCCAGGGCTTGGCTTCTGTCATACACACTTCCCTCATCTTCCCTGAGCTGCACAGAAAAAATGCTCTGGTGGTGGCAGAAGGATTTCTGAACCCAGAGAAGATTTTTTTTTTTAAGATGTTATTTATTTATTCATGAGAGACACACAGGGGCGGGATGCAAAGACAGGCAGAGGGGAAAAGCAGGGGACTTGATCCCGGGTCTCCAGGATCACGCCCTGGGCCAAAGGCGGTGCTAAACCGCTGAGCCACCTGGGCTGCCCGAGAAGTTTTAATTCAGCTTTATACCTATATCGTATCATGTTATTAGTAACACCGTCAACTGTAAAACTAATCTGGGGGGTAAAGTTTTAAAGAGATGATGGAAGTTCAAACTGTTAATACTGTATAAGAAACAATAAAGTTTGTTAACTAAGATGTGACCAAAAAATTAAATATTCTTTATAAAATTTAGATTTATAAAGTGTAACCAAAATTCACAGAAAAGAAGGCCAAAGAAGGATGTGTACAAAGAAAGCAGCTAAACTTCCTAAAATTTTACAGTTATTTGATGAAGAATCAAACTATTCTTTAAAACAGAGTATCTGGGGATCCCTGGGTGGCTCAGCGGTTTGGCACCTGCCTTTGGCCCAGGGTGCGATCCTGGAGTCCCGGGATCGAGTCCCGCGTCGGGCTCCCGGCATAGAGCCTGGTTGTCCCTCTTCTCTGCCTCTCTTTCTCTCTATGTCTATCATAAATAAATAAATAAATAAATCTTTTAAAAAAAATTAAATAAATAAATAAATAAAACAGAGTATCTTGGGAATGCCTGGGTGGTTCAGCAGTTGAGCGTCTACCCTCAGTTCAGGGCATGATCCCGGAAAGGAATTTCGGGATGGAGTCCCACAATGGGACTCCTGCTTCTCCCTCTGCCGGTGTCTCTGCCTCTCTCTGTGTATCTCATAAATAAATAAATAAATTCTTTAAAATGAATGAATGAATGAATGAATGAATGAATGAAATAAATAAATAAATAAATAAATAAATAAATAAATAAATAAAGCAGAGCTTCTAAAACTGACTTTGGCAAAGAGCTAGTTTGCTTTTGACCAATCCACTGCAGACTAATATTTTTATAAAATAAAATAAAGAATGTAGCCATCAGGGCAGCCCGGGTGGCTCAGCAGTTTAGCACTGCCTTCAGCCCAGGGTGTGATCCTGGAGACCCAGGATCGAGTCCCACGTCAGGCTCCCTGCATGGAGCCTGCTTCTCCCTCTGCCTGTGTCTCTGCCTCTTTCTCTTCTGTCTCTCATGAATAAATAAATAAAATCTTAAAAAAAAAAAAAAAAGAATGTAGCCATCAGGGATGCCTAGGTGGCTCAGCAGTTGAGTGTCTGCCTCCGGCTCAGGGTGTGATCCCGGAGTTCTGGGATCGAGTCCCACATCGGACTCCCTGCAGTGAGCCTAGGTCTCTGCCTCTCTGTGTCTCTCATGAATAAATAAATCTTAAAAAAAAAAAAAAAGAATGTAGCCATCATATCAAAAGTTATAAAATTTCTAAGCTTTTACTCTCGGTTTCCTTAACTTATTTTGTTTCAAACCAGTTCTCAAACTGGCACTGGTTCTCAGACCACACTTTCAGTAGCAAGACTGAAAAACACTTAGCCCCACTAAATGTACTATAAAAGATGAAATATAGGGATGCTTGGGTGGCTCAGCAGTTTAGCGTCTGACTTTGACTCAGGTCGTGGTCCTGGAGTCCCCAGATCAAGTCCCGCATCTGGCTCCTGCATGGAGCCTGCTTCTCCCTCTGCCTGCGTCTCTGCCTGTCGGTGTCTTTCATGAACAAATAAAATCTTTAAAAAAGGGGATCCCTGGGGATCCCTGGGTGGCGCAGCGGTTTAGTGCCTGTCTTTGGCCCAGGGCGCGATCCTGGAGACCCGGGATCGAATCCCACGTCGGGCTCCCGGTGCATGGAGCCTGCTTCTCCCTCTGCCTGTGTCTCTGCCTCTCTCTCTCTCTCTCATTCTGTGTGACTATCATAAATAAATAAAATTAAAAAAATTAAAAAAAAAAAAAAAAAAAAGGGGATCCCTGGGTGGCGCAGCAGTTTGGCGCCTGCCTTTGGCTCAGGGCGTGATCCTGGAGATCCGGGATCGAGTCCCATGTCGGGCTCCCGGTGCATGGAGCCTGCTTCTTCCTCTGCCTGTGTCTCTGCCTCTCTCTCTCTCTCTCTGTGACTATCATAAATAAATAAATTAAAAAAAAATTTTTTTTAAAATCTTAAAAAAAAAAGATGAAACATAAAAATTATTTAAGTGACTTATGAAAAAAGCTTATCATAACTTTTTTTTAAAGATTTCATTTATTGGGATCCCTGGGTGGCGCAGCGGTTTGGCGCCTGCCTTTGGCCCAGGGCGCGATCCTGGAGACCCGGGATCGAATCCCACGTCGGGCTCCCGGTGCATGGAGCCTGCTTCTCCCTCTGCCTGTGTCTCTGCCTCTCTCTCTCATTCTGTGTGACTATCATAAATAAATAAAAAATAAATAAATAAAATTAAAGATTTCATTTATTTATTCATGAGACAAGAGAGAGAGGCAGAGACACAAGCAGAGGGAGAAGCAGGCTCTCTGCAGTAGGGAGCCTGATGCAGAACTTGATCCCAAGACCCCAGGATCATGACCTGAGCCAAAGGCAGATGCTCAACCACTGAGCCACCCAGGTGCCCCCAGCTTATCATAAAATTTAAACATAAATATTTTTCGTGAAAAAACCATTACAGTTAGCATAATTCCATTTAGAATACTTATAAACATGCAAAGTGGGGTTAAACCATCCCAGTGTCTAAATTACATCAAATAGGTGTAATATTTCTCCTCTGATTTTTTTTTTTAAGATTTTTTACTTATTTATTCATAGAGACACAGAGAGAGAGAAAGAAGAGTTAGAGACACAGGCAGAGGGAGAAGCAGGCTCCATGCAGGGAACCTGACGTGGGACTCGATCCCAGGTCGCCAGGATCACACCCCGGGCTGCAGGCAGTGCTAA